ACATCTGCCTGAGAAGAAGGGTTTTACCTGTGGACTCTGTGAGGAAGAATTAATAGCATCCAAAAGTTTAGCGACTGGGGTTCTTATGTCTCTGAAAAATGAGAATTTATAGCCCTTATTAATGTGGATTTTTACTCTGTTGGAAGTAGGAATAGCCTTTTGGTCTGAATAGAGGTTGTCACAGCAAGTTACACAAACTATCTACACATTGTTTTAAAGCACTGATGCATTTCACTAACATGTTACTCTAGTTTCCAAAACAAGCCAAGTACCATGGTGCTTGATTGGCAATTTGCTCAAGTCACTAAAGATTTGGTTGGCAATGGGTTTAAACTAGGTTCAAACCAGCTTGATTTGACAAATGCCAGTTAATATGTTTAGACCCTTGAGGTATAGCCAGAATGCCTCTGTCTGTTTTGTGGCTTGGAGTTTGTGAGCTGTACACGTGCCAATGAAATTGCTTTCTATGTTAGAAGTACAAATGTGCCTTAGGCTTTGCTCTGTGGTTTTCTCTTCAGTGTTGCTGGTTGTTATTTGCAACACCGCCTGCAGCAGTATTGCCTAGGGCTACAAGCAGTATCAGAACTTCAAACAAATCAGTCATTTTAAGTCTTGTGGGGTTTTGTTCATTTTGTTTTCCAAGAGCAGGACTTCTCTTCCCTCTTGCTGTGGCTGAAATCCAGCAGCTTGATTGCTGTGTATTTCATGTATCTAGACAAACTGTGTGAAACCTAGAATTTCTGCTGTGCAAAAGGATGAGCGACTGTGTGTGTAAATATATCAATAAGTGAATTCATTATGGAAAGAAAAGTTATGAAGGAAGACATTTCTTTTCAATTGTTTTAATAAGCGCCAAAAATACATTTTTTGCAAAATACTGCTTCTGGGACCTTGCCAATGTGTTGGGGGACTTGCCAGGGAGCAGGAGGGGAGGTGACTGGGTGAAGAGGCAGAAACTTAGTGTTTCTTCTGCCATGTTTCTTTTAAAAGGCAGCGTTCTATCAAACTGAACTGATGTATAAATTGTTTAATGAAATGTGGTGCTCCAGTCTGAATCTCACTGTGATCTCCACTTTCTCCGCTCCCCCCCCAAGGAATTTCCATTTATGGGAATGCTCAGCTGTTTCTGGACACTGGATGTATGTAACTTGTGTGAAGTTGGGCAGAATTCCACAATCTGCTAGTTTCTGGCAGAGGTTTAGCCTGGGAAGTCCTGCTGTTCTTCTCCCAGTGTTGAGGTGCTGGCAGTGTTATCCTGCCACACACTGCAGAAGGAAGGAGGGATGTGTTGTGCACTATGCAACAGACCACAGTTATTCACAGATGGAAAAAAATCTATGCTCCTCACTGAGCTGCTTAAGGATTTTCGATTCAGTGCTGCTGCTTTAGTCTTTGGAGATCAAAATAATGCTTCAAACTGAATTACTGTAAACTGCTGTGGCATGCAGCAACCTGTAGAAATGCTCTCTCCAAGCTCATAAGACATGCTGCAGTCATTTCTAGAATCAAGAGAAAATCAATACTTCGCAGGCAGTGAAATCTTACTTTTAAAAAAGTAGTGGTGGGTTATTAAGGCAGGCAGTGCTCTGGTTTGCTGCTGGGTCAGAGGTTTCAGGTCTTGGGCTGTTGTATCTGCACACTGAGAGTTGGCTTTGGGAAATGGGGGGGGGGGGGGGGGGGGGGGAAGTGTGGGGGTTTTAGTCTGTACCCAGAATTGTAAATAAGATCCATCTGTCCTAATTATCTTGAAATGAGGGGCAACTTCTTCCTGTGTCATATTAATGACATTCATTATTCCTTTGTCCCATTCAGTGACAAGGCTGTTCCATGTTGGACTGGCTCCAGTATTTATAAACAGGAGTAGGGCTGTTTGCACATCAGTGCAGCAATGACAAATGAGGAGCTCGTGCAACATCTGGCTCTAGGTTTTACTAAAATCCCTGCTGGTTTGAATTAGGTGCAGTCTCTCCATGCACTTCACTTGGGCCAGACTTCCTCCTGCAATATTTTGTGCAAAGATCACTACCTAGCTCTGCTAGTTCTGAAACATATCTTTTCCTGTTCTTGTCTACCTGAATAAAGCAAATATTCTTGCTAGCACTGGCTGTAGCACCTGCAGAACTTGGCAGGCTTTACAGACAATCTTGTATACACCACTGTATCCATTACAACAGGGCCACTTCAGAAATCCAAGATACAACCTCCTGTCCTCAGTCATCTCCAGGTTCCTTGCATTGTACTCCCTGGCATAATGTAACTGTGTTTTTTTCCTTTCCCATCCTCTTAAGCTCTGAAAACCCAGACTGACTAATCTCAAATTGCCAGCAATGTTTGCCTTTGCTCTGATACTGCCTCTGCATTGGAAGTGAGTCCCCTCTAGTCTGCCCTAAAGGCAGAAAATACAAAAGCTGTTCTGGTTGCTTCAGTTCAGTCTGAAGGCATAAGATCTATAGCAGAAGGGCATTCTCCTTCTGTTCAGTCAGGGCTTTTAAGGAACCAGAGGTCCATTTCAAAGCATTTTGGAATAAAATGTAGTTCACCGATCCCCAGTCCCTGGAACCCAGTGGGAGCCAAGAGCAGCCAGTTTCAGGTCCATCTGTGCTGTGTATTGCATGTGGAATCATCTAGAGATAAGTTGGCCAAGGTCAGGTAGGCAGATACCTAAGGAAGGTGTATTATTTCAAGGCACTAAATCACAAATGTAAAGCTTAACCATGGCAGCAGTCTGCACATGCTGTGGTCTGTCCTAGGTTTTATCGCTTCCAGTTTTCCATTTTGATTCTCTCATGTTTTGGGCTTATTGTCCCCTTGAAGGTCACCCACGTCTACCTTTGGGAACGCGTTTGATATTTCTCTGGAGATATCCAAGTGGCTTCTTATTGTTCCACTTACCTGCCTGCTTTACTAAACATATGTTTCAGTGCAGGTGGCTAAGCCCGCTGGGGTATTGCAATGTTAAATCACTGTGATAGCTGACAGAATGAGTCTCTCATCTTCCAGCTAGTGTGAGATTTTCCTTTGGGTTTGGGGTGGGTTTTGCAAGGATAAACACAAGTAATTTCTGGTGCCAAACTGTTCAGAGCTACTGAAGCATTTGGCTTTAATAACTTCTAGACCTTTCACCTTCCTTAGGCACCTTTACCCTTTTATCTGTTGTTTTGGGGGTACATCAGAAGCAAAGGAAGAGAGGAAAATTCTTCCATTTGCTGTCTAATAATTTTAAGATTTCATACTGCCACCCAGTGCAGAAGATTGGAGAAATAATTGAAATTAGTATGTAAATGAAACAAGTAACAGTGACAAAATCTGTAGAGGACTGTTGCAGGGGAGTTTTGAGTAGGGGTGGTGTAGATTTTTCAGAAAGGTGGAATTATTCTCTCAGCAGTACTTAGATTGGGAAATTTTTTTGCAGAGTGGTAATTTTGCACAACACTGTATTACCAAAATTTTTCAGAAATACCAGTCACTGTATTTCTTAAAGTTCTGTCAAATTCTTTGATACATTTAATTCACTGAACTCTTCGTAAGAAGGAATTTAGCTGATCTTCAGGATTAGTTTGTGAAAAGGTAATTCAGACTTTTTTTTTTCGGCTAAGCTAATGTATTTTCTTGTATTTCTGGAGGGTGAACCTCTCCAGTAAAAGCAGTTGTAGAACTTTTGGCCTTGCACATTCAGATACATGCAGACCATCATTTCTAAACCACATCTGCTTAGACAATAGTTCTGAATTCCAAGAAGCAGGTCAAGCTAATCATAGAACATCCTAAATTGGAAGGGATCTGCAAGGATCATTGAGTCCAGCTCATGGACATTGAGTCCAATTAATGCCCTGTCTGAGCTATTTAGTATCACCACTGAAGGAATCTGCATGTGTGGCATTGCTTTTGTGGAAGCTGGTGGAGAAATGGTGCCCTTTGAGAAGGCCTTGTGGAAGGCTGACTGGACTTAGGAAACATCATTTGTAGAAAAAACTTCAGATTCCATATCTTTTATCTTTAATGGCAGTAGAATTACCTAATGGAGTTTATTAGATTGTGTATATTAGGTTATTAATAATTATGTTTGATAAATCATGTCATGTTCACAAAAAGTGCTTTGTCTACTTATTTACCATCTTGATCTTAGTTTTGATTATATATTAAGTATTTCCTGATATACTAGAAAATAGGACAAGGTGGGTTTTACAAAAGCATTGTGGTCTTGGGACTGCAATGCTCCTAAAATGAATCTTTAAGGAAAAGGACATAATTGCCACCATCATGTGTTCAAATTTTAAAAATGAGAGACTTTTTTTGAAACACAAATTAACAAAGCCTTGTTCTAGAAATCTATTTGTACAGGATCAGTACTTCCAATTGATGAAAATGGCTGTAATAGGGAGGCATTGATTTACACCCACAGATCTGGCCTAGAAAATGCAGAGCTGGATGCCTGTTTTACAGGCCTCAGTCAGGTGTTTTGCTTTCTGAAGCTTAATTTCAGTGTCCTGTGAGCAAACAATTATTCAAAATTCAATTAATTTATTGTTATGTTTTAATCACTGTGATGGTGTTGTGTTTACAGGTTTTTATCTAATTAACTGTTACTTTCCCATTTAAAATAAATTCAATAACCAAATGTCTCTAGAAACTGAAAGGGCTAGAATGCACCAGCCTTGATATTAAGAATGAGCACTTAACAGCCCAGAGGGCAGAGCCTGAAACTGGGAGGACTCTGTTGGATTTTTCTCTACTCTGTGCTCTTTGCCTTTTTGAGCCTTAGGAAAAATGAAACTATGTTTATTGTTGTGATAGATTCCTGGAGATGTTGATGAAAAGCTGTCAAATACTGAGGTACACAGAACTATGAGCTTTTAAAATAATTCTTAGGGGTATTTGTTTGGGTTAAAACCTCAGGGCCAGGTTTTGCTCTTGGTCCAAGAAGCAGATCAGCGAAGGAGCAGAACTGCTCCTTGGTCCTTGGGTGTTGGGGTCATGCTTTGCACGTCTCCTCCTTTCAGATCAGTGGTTGTTCACAACCTGTGGTGCCAGTGGACCCTATGGCCCCACACAGAGCCAGTGCAACGATGCCTACAGGAACTCCAAGCTCAGAGTGGTGGTGGGAGCTGAAGGGATTCTCCAAGGCATTCAGATCTGGAGAGTACCAGCAACCAACACATACAGGTAAGGAAGCTGTCTCATTGTCGTGATGTATCTGTGTTCAAAACGACCCAAGCTGCTGATACATGCCGGGCATTTTTGAAGTATTACATTTAGAAGTTTGGCCACATCTACTGGGTTTTACTTATCACTGAGCCTGTGATTTCCAGTCTCTCCCATCTCAGATTTGCTCCCTGGAAGATGCAACTTTTTTGGTGAAAAAGAAGACACTTTCTGAGGGAGGCAAATCTTTAGCCTAAATGGTCACAGGTTGGGAGAGCTCTATCAGTAGCAGAAAATGAAGCGTTTTCACCTCCCCAGACCAAGAGGAATGCGTTTCCCATTTGGCATTCATGGGAGCTCTGGGATCAGAATGAGTTTTTCCCACCCTTCACTTGGTGTGGAAGGCACAATCATGTGTCAGCATTTCTTATGGGACAGCTTGCCTCTGCTCAGCATCTTCACTTTTTTGAATCTAGAGGCAGCAAGTTGAGCTTGTAAGCCTGGTTTACCACAGTAGAATTGATTTTGGAAGCCAGCCACCTAAATGGTAGGCTCTGTGATACTGAGGCTTCTAACACTAAATCCCCCTGTGGAGTTGTTTTCAAAGAGAGGTGATCAGATACGGTTCAATGCTACTTAATCAGATTTTTACCAATCATTTTTTTCCTTTTGCTCTTGCTGGGGAAAGAAGTACAATCGAAGTGTAGTTCACTGTATCTGAATGGTAACATGAAGCCATTACATGCATCATTTTGTAAGCAGAACTGTCAGTTTGAGCAAGTGACTCTCTAGAGGTGGGTTTTATGCAGCATTCCATATTGAAACCAATGATGGTATCTTGGATTTCAAAGCAAAACATTCCATTGAAGGCTTTGAACAAATTTCAGTTACAGTTTTCTGATCTCATCTCTTTTTTCTTTTATATTGAAAAAGAATGCTAATGTTGAGGCCAGATGTCAGGCTCTAATAGAGGTCTAGGGCAAAGCAGTTTTGAGAAACAGGCTAGGCTAGGCACAAGTTCTGCCTGAGTGCCTATTCCTACAAGGATTGATGGTAATGCAAAAAGCATTAATGATACTTTACCCAGCTATCAACAAGGAGTTGCCTGAGGTGAATAGAATTTTTCAGAACCAGCACCCAGTAAATATGGTTATAAAGCACAGCCCAAAAATGAAGAGGCAGAGCAGACCAAAAGCTTACAGCACTGTCATTTCTTTAATATCAGAGTCCAAGAAGAGCCAGAATTCCTGTGCCACTGTAGGCTGATTTTTTGCTGCACAGTACAACCCCTGGGCCCTGCAGGCATGACCTGTCTATTTAAGTCCTATAAATGACCTAAGAGACTTTTAAGTTCTGTATAGATAGTAGATGTATAATGTCGTGCATAACATATATATAAAGGGATGACATTCTCTTCTGCACCTCTTAAGACTAAAGTAGAAAATTCACAGCCTGGGGAAAGCAGGAGGCAATTGTGGGCTTAAATTAACTTGACAATCCCCCTGATTCTGGTGTGCTGAAGGAGCAGCAGAGTTCACCAGCACAGCATAGCCCTAGGAAAATGTCAAGTTGCAATATCAATTCCAGGGCTTCCCAGAGTCTGGACTTACTGCCTGTGCTTAGCTCTGCCCTGCGGTCCTGCTGCAGTGTGGGTCCTCTAAGTTTTCCTGATGGGCACTGCTGAAACACCTGACGCAGGAAGAAAACCCTCCTGATGGCTGCTGGGCTCTGGAGAAAGCTGATGTTCTGCCATATCAGTGTGTTTTACACTGTGTAATGTACACTCCTGGTAATTGCTCAAGAAGGATATTGATTTTGTGAACATGAGGCAGAATATGCATTATTAAAATACAGACAACTCAATTTTGCACAAAACTCTGCAAGCACAAACCAACCACACCCAGAAAACCCCATCTGTGAAGGTCTGGGTAAGCTGCCTCACACTGTAGTACCCACATTGTAAAACTGGAGTTTTTACATGCTCTGGTTCACTCTCATGGGACTTCACATTTTGTAACAATGAAGTTAAACATTATAAAATATTTTTTTTTGTTTCAGATCTCCTTCTAAGCATTGAGAAGGTCTAGTCATCTAGGTCTTATGACCAAGTATGAAAGAAGTGGACTGTAATAAATTACACATTACCATCCTTTATCCTACTTCTTTCCATTTTTGAATTAAGAGGTTTAGGTCCATTTTGTGAGTGCCTCATTTGTGATCACATCCACTGTCCTCTCTTCTCTATGGTTCCTTCATGTAAGGTGGCCCAAGAACACAGCCCAAGTGGTGTGCAAAAAAGTGTCATTCTGAGCATTTTCTCATACTCTCAAGACTAGCCCAAGTGTTTCCAATAACCTGGATATTAGGGTGCATGTTTTTCTCCAGCCCTGGTTTGCACTCTGCACATCCTGACCCTTCCTGAAGGTGTGGGCTTCTTTTGCAGATCCCACAAGTTAAACAAGTGTCACAGTAAAAGAAAAGAAGGAAGGCAGTGGAAGGTACTCTGTGTTCTTGCTCTGAATGGGCTGAACCTTTCTTCAGGGCCAATATGGTTACATGGCTTCCTTCCACCTCTAAAAGAAACGTGTTCCGAATGAAAGGGAGCCTCTTAAGGTTTGAAGTCAAGATAACTGTTTAAATAGTGACAGCATTTTGAATAGGGAATGACTGCCACCTGAATATACTGGGTTTTATTTGTCTTCAGCCTTTGAGTGAGGCCAGACTGGGTTTCCTGAACTTTCTGATATCACTGCATGTATGCAAAATCTGTTCTTACATGGAAAAGTATGGCCCCTACTGGCAGCCAATTAGCCCTGCCAGCTTGCTCTGCCTGCTAGTGCACCTCATTAGCCATTGCAAAATTCTACAGTAAATCAACTCAGTTCTCAGATTCATGCAGCATCTGTTCAGGGTGGCCCAGTGCTGTGTCCATCACTTTTTCTGCTGGCTCTGGTACAGCCTGAGGACTGATTGCTTTGGTTATCAGCAGTGGCATGAACATAATCATGTCACATTGCCAGGATCTAATATGCTTTATGAGACACTGCCTGTTTGCAGGCAGGACTGTGCTGGGCAGAGAGCAGCCAGGTGCTGGAGGAAAGGAGCTGTTAAAGCAGAGCACCTACGCTGTGCCTGGTAGGAAGCCGAGAGCAATTTTTGAGTTCTGAGTCCTGCAGTCTCTGGTTACCTGCTCCAGGTGGAATTTTGCTCTTATAGAAACACATGGAATGCTACTAATGTCAGTGGAGAATTACCTGCTTATTTCAGGTCTAAACTGAGTTGCTCTACCATCATCCACCTGCTCAGAAAGTTGCGTAACTCTGTGTTTTGTTGCAGCAGGAATGTGTGTTTTATCATGATCTTTAAAAAGTGCTTTGAAATCCTTTTCTAAAAGCTGCTTTAAGTATGCTCATGGTCAGAAAGGGAGAAGATGAGAAATACAGTGTTACAGCCAGATCTTTGGGTACAGCAGCAGCAGTAAGCACCTCTGAATCTTGACTGTTTGAAATAAAAATCCCGGAGCCTTAACTGAGGCTGCAGCAGCCCATGTGTAATGTAACCTGCCCACTCCTGGCTGGAGACAGGGAGATGTTCCTGATCACCATGAGTTTGGCCAGGGGGCTTTTGCCTTCCTTGTTTACTGCAGGTAGTGTCATCTCCATCTACTTTTCTTTCTGTGTTCTATGGTCCTGGGAATAAGAGAGCTGTTTTCCATCTGGTCCCTGCTACCAGGACCAGTTATGCTGTCTGCTTCCTCAAATCTCCCTCTGTCAATCTCATGCTTAATGTCCTCTTTAGCCATATGTCCTGGTTTTACCAGCTCTCCTGCTTCTGTTCTTTCTCTTCCTTGCTGCAAACTTCTCAAGGATGTGCCTTCTGGGAAACAAGATGTGTTTCATATATTAAAGCTGGAAACTAGAAGGACTTGCTTGCTCTGTTCTCAGCTGTTTGCCCAATAATCAATGTGAAAGAATGTGTTTTGTAGCTACCCAAGCTCACAGATTCAAACAGAGCAGAAAATCAGTCTTCAGGCTTTGGGCTTAGGTTTATTTAGAAAGTCAGGTCTTCAGAGCACAGCTTTGTGACACCGAGTTCAGGTGTGCAAAGTGCTCACTGCTCTGAAGGGGTTTGTGCTTCCTTCCACCTGCCTGGGACAGTTCAGGTGGCAGCCTCTTGTTTTCTTTGTCCTGCAGCATCTCAGGCTATGGAGCTGCGGGTGGGAAAGGAGGGAAGAACACCATGGTGCGGTCCCACGGCGTGTCTGTGCTGGGAATTTTTGACCTGCAGAAGGATGATACGCTGTATATCTTGGTGGGACAGCAAGGAGAAGATGCTTGTCCTAGTGTAAGTGATTGCCTTTCTGTTTTGCCTTCATCCCTTCTACCAATCCATGGAGTTTTGTCTTTTCACACAGAAAAACGTTGTCCTCGAGGGGTTTGGGCCTATAAGAGTCAAGAAATAGGTACAATTTTACTGGGAGAGCATGATAATCTGAAGCACCATGTCCCTATGCTTGCTTCTGTTCAACATTTGGGCCCCGTTGATAATACACAACAGGTTCCTGACTGGTCTGAGTACCTCAGAGCACCTGTGTGGGGGCTTGGAGACAAAAGACAATGCTGCCTTCCATTCCTCTGGAAATCAGTCTTCAAGGCTGACTTTGCAGGGTTTTGCCCTTGTTCCACTATTGAGCCCAGCCCTGCCATTATCATTTACTCTGCACCTCAAGAGGTACCCACATGACAGGGCCTGCTTGGTTATTCTCCATAGGGGAATAGGAAAGACAAATCAATCATTGCTGGGTCAATCCTGATTTTTATGTTACTAACCAACCCTTGCTGCAAATGTCTTGACAGAAAGATGGGCACTATGTACATGCACAGGAGTTTATTAATTTTTAAGTATTCTTTGGAGGAGGATGTGGGAATAGGACACTCTCATGGAGCAAACTAAGCATTTTCTGATGAAATTTCACCTCAGGTTTGAGCTGGACATCTAAATGATGTGCATTTCTCAGCTGATAATGGCTGGCTTCCAAGAGATGAAAGCTTAGCTGTCTGTAAGAGCAGAGAAAGGTTGAAGGATATAGACAAGTAAAAGGGGTTCTCAAGGCTGGCTGCTGAAGTAAATAATGCTAAAACTAGAATTACACATATCTACAAACAAACCATTAATATAAAGCCTTTTTGAAATGAGAAATGGCCTAACTCAAACGTCCATCCAGCATCTTTAACTAGGACATTCCAGCTGAGGGTAATATATGGACTCATTAAATTGCAGGGCACTGTAATCTTAGTGAAAATTTATTGAGTGCTAATGTAATTCTTTCATTGAGGCAAAGAGATTGCATTGACTTGTAGAGGGGACTTTTACTAGATTGGATTGTAATCAGTTATGTCTTTGCCATGAAGGATTATTTTTTTTGTAATCTAGTGGTTCCTTTGGGTCATTGAGTTTGTCATTTTATTAATCATTCCCACCCAACTCTAAATCAATTAAGGAGAGGGAAAAAACAGGGAAAGGAGGACTGTTAGTTCTTTAGGCAAGTCTGCACACAAAAGGGATGCCACTCATTCTCTAGCACAACTTAGAATATATTGTGTGGTCAGCAGAATAATTTGTGATTTGAGTATGCTTTTATCAGGTTCTTCTTCCAAAAGAAAACACACACATGAAAGTAGAAGGAAGCAGAAGGTGAATCCTGCTATAATAAATGTTTGTGCCTTTTCCCCCTAAAAGTGTTGTTGGTTTAGTAAGTTCAGTGTGCATTATATGTGCAATATAACAAGACAGTGTTACTGAGACAAAACCTGTAAAGTAAAATAAGCTAGAAACAAAGTTTGCAACTTGAAAATGCTACAGCAGGGTCCTGCTTGTCATGCACTTTAGTGCTCCAATTTTAAGCCAAAACAGTAGTCAGGTCATAGTCCTGAAGTAGGTATAAATCACGGTTTAATGTTGTGATTGAAATCAGTTAGTGAATTCAGGGATTTGCCTAATACAGAAAGTTCACTGTGTTAAATGATAATTGATGGAAGGGAAAAAATGCTAAGTAGGAAATGTGGAGGCTTTTTAGTGAGGTATTTTCATTAACATCAGGAGAACATTGCAGCCAAAGATGGGATCGCTGCTCTTTTGGTAGGCATTGGTAGTTGCAGTAAAATTGCTACCAAGATCATCAGAGATGCACATTGACTGCTTGGCCCAACCAATGGGACTGGACATGAGGTAAACACAGAGTTGGGTTCTCTGTCTCTGCCATTTGGCTGTTGTGTGACAAGGGACAAGGCACATATCCTTGCTGAGTTACTGCCTTCCTCCACTTGTGAAATACAGACTGTTAGTGCTGGGAAATATTTGCAGCAAATTCTGCTACATTTTGTATATTAAAAGTTTATGGAGGTGTATTACGTGATAATAGGTATCAGCACTGAGTTTACTTCAAAATAATTTAATTAAAATGGCAACAAATTCTTCTGGTGAAGGTTGAGGCAAAAAGCCAGATTCTTGCAGAAGAGCATTCATTTGGTTCTGGTCATGTAGTCTCCCTGGAGGACAATTTCTTGTTTTGGGATGGTGAGAAGGGTACATGAGACCTCTGTGTGCACAAGGGAGTGGAGGTTTCTTACCTGAATTCAGACTTGGTCTTCTGTTTGCAGACAAATGATGTTATCCAGAAAGTCTGCATTGGAGAGAACAACGTGATTGAAGAAGAGATTCGTGTGAACAGAAGTGTCAATGAATGGGCAGGAGGAGGTGGTGGTGGGGGTGGTGCCACTTACATATTTAAGGTATGGAAACACAATCCCCATGCACCTTCAGCATCAACACATCCTTCCACCTGCCTCTGAAAAATCCCTTATGCACCTGAGGGAGAGGGTCCACAGAGTGATCTCTGGGTATCTAATTTCCACTTGAGAGATGTAGGGATCTGAGCTGGCCCTTCACACTTTGAACTGCTGTTCAATATGGCCACACTTGTTTCAGTGGCTTGAAGTATCCTTTGCAAACATAATGAGTTGAATTGGGTAGGGTTTGTTTTTTTTTCCCCAGTAAAAATTGAGATGCTGAAGCATAGTTCTACAGAAAAAGGGTAAATTCTGCAGGACTTCATTCGCCTCTGACATTGTAGAATGTGAGACATCAGTTATACATTAAGCTTGACAAGGAAAGCTGAGGGTAGCCTGTATGTTTTCTGTTGGCAGTCCTGTAGCTGTGGACCACTGATGTTTCCTTTCCTGTGCTAGCTGAGACAGTGCTCATTCCAAACACTGGTCTCAGGGGAGACACTGTGCAGAACAGTGCTCCTTAGCTGTTTCATTTGATAAAAGTCGTCATATGGGGCATTACAGGCTTTCTAAGAGCCATCACCATGGTAGATATAATTCATAGAGCTATTGACACTGCTGTTTCCTGTAGCAGAACTTGACTTATTCTTTAATTTTCTATTCATTAATTTCCTGGGTGTGGGTACATAAATAATGCAGTGACAGTGTGCAGTGCTGAGCAGCCTTAGATGCCTGCTTGGTGCAACATGCAGTAACTATGATGTGGCTGAACTTCCATTTCCATGTCTGACTCAGTTTGAACATTGCCTTTATTTCTGAATTTGTTAAGATGGAGAACGGAGAACCGGTCCCCTTGATAATTGCAGCAGGGGGTGGTGGCAGGGCCTACAGGGCCAAAACGGACACATTTCACCCAGAAAGACTGGAAAATGATTCCTCTATTCCAGGGTTGAATGGAAATTCAGGAGCTGCAGGTAAGGAGAGTTTATTCCTTTTAAGAAAACCTTTGTGAATATGTGGTACTCGCAGATTCCTCCTCCTCACAAGAAGGTGAGGTAAAACTCATGAAAATACAGTTCAGGGGGAACAAAGGGTTATAACAGATGCAAATAGAAGGTACCCACAGTGCTGGATACTTGGGGTAAATAAGAGTATCAGAAATGGTATAGCCATAACAATGGCTACATTCTCCCAAAATAATACAGTACCTCTCATAAACAAAGTTGTTTGATTTTTGATGTGGGAGTTGGTAGTGCCAATGTTACTGTCCTGGTCCCTGCACTGTTTTGTGCTGTGTGGACATACTCAGAGTTTCTCTGGCTTATGCAGAAAAAGCATAATTGCACCATGTCTAGAAGTCTCTGTGCAGAGACCTTGGACTGAGCAAGCAGCAGAGCTGAGAGTGAGTCACTGGTATGTGGTGTGGAGAGTAGGAGTGGGACATGTTTTCACACCCCTTACAATAAATTCAGTTTTTTCTACTTTAGAATTTGCATTGGTTTATTTCAAGAGTGTTTTAGACAGAGGGGGAAGGCTCTGTAAACCAGAAAGAAGTGGTTGGAGAGTAGGTAGGGATATCTTTTTACCTTTTCTATAGAAAATACTTGTCCTTGTTTGTATGGTGAGTGAAAAGAGGTGCAGATGATGACTTTCAGCTGAGGTGTTTTGAATGGATTCTTGTCCTGCAGATCCCTCCAGTGTTTCTAACAGGAAAAGTAACCCCTGGCTGTGCCTTTTCTCTTCTCTCAACTGCAGGTGGTGGAGGTGGCTGGAATGATAACACTTCCTTCCTGTGGTCAGGAAAATCCTTGCTGGAAGGTGCTACTGGAGGAAGATCCTGCCCCCAGGCCATGAAGAAGTGGGGGTGGGAGACAAGAGGGGGTTTCGGAGGGGGTGGAGGGGGGTGCTCCTCAGGTGGAGGAGGCGGAGGATATATAGGTAAAGTGGCTTCGTGTTCAAGGTGTCCCTTCCCCTCCTTTAGTGCTAATGATCAGCAAAATGCTGATGATAACTCTCCTGTAGCTAGCATATTTGACTGTTATGTACTAGTATGTCTGTGTGTTGCCTTTTTAGCACTAGATGAACTCATTTAGGCTTTGAGCAAAGAGCCAGAGGCTGCAAAGAGTCCTTCAGCTGCAACCCTGGCTTTGCGCTCTGCAAAATGTGACATTAAGATCTTGCTGTTATTCCTGAGCTTTTCACATTGGGTTGAGAGTGCTGGAGCAAGAGGAGACACAGCTTTGTGCTCTAGTTGCCAGCACCTGTTTTTGGAGGACTTTGGTCCTGGAGACTGGCAGCCAGGCTTTATGCCAGGGGAAAGATGCAGCTTCTCCCCTGCCCTGCTGTGGGTGGGCTTTGGTCCTGCACAGTGGTCTCTGGGTGCAGAGGCTCAGGCTGCCAGCCAGCACCCCTCTTAATATGACTTCAGTCAACAAGGAGCTAATTTCATGTGCCTCTGTGTCTCAGGGCAGCTGTCAGATGGCATTATGTTGATTACAACTGGTGTGGGCCAGATTCAAGATCTCTACTAACCCATAGTCTCCTGGGCCACATAGTTTCTGCAGCCATCTGCACTGTGGTGGACTCTTTAACCCCTGGTTCTCCACAGCTTAAATTAAGTAGAAGGTAGCCTGGAAATATTGAGAGGAAGTAATGAGTTTAAATGATTAAGTGCATGTTTTGTACCAATGTTCCTGTGTAATGCTTCTTTTTCTGACAGAATGACTCACATGATTTTTTTTTTTTTATTTCACTGAAGACAATTAAAAGAAAAAAGCTATTTTTGGGTGGGTGGGGGAATCGTTGCATGCTTGAAGTACAAATTATATGTGTTTCTAATATTTGTTATCTATTGCCCATACTTTGCTTCTGGTTCCATGTGCTCAAGCACAAATGAGCAACTGATAAATTCCTTCAGTCCCCACTCCTGGTTGACCACCCTGCATTTAGGGTGCAAAGGAGAGGAAGGATATCAGGTATTCATTCCCTCTGCTGACACAGTACATGCCTTGATCAGCAGGGTGCTAACTTAGCCCTGGAGTACTGGTGCTTTCCAGTCTCTTGGCTACATAAATTTTAACAAGGGCTTGTATGTTTCACAGCATCCAAATGGTTAAAGATGAAGTTTGTGCCTTAGTTTGCAACAGTCTACCTAAACAGAGCTAATTGATTGATTGATTGATTGTCACAAGCTTCTTTATTAAATTGAAGTTCTAAAGTCTACTAGTTCATGCCACAACTTGCTAAATATTCCCTATATATTAAATGCTTTAATTTTTCTCTTTTTCATTTGGATGCCTCCCTAAATAGGCTGAATTCATGCATGTTGCCATGTTTATCTGTGTTTTATTGTTCTGTGAGCCTCAGTCTGTTAAGGTAACTTCTGGTTTGACATAGGTGGCAATGCTGCAGTGGACAATGACCCAGAGATGGATGGGGAGGATGGTGTGTCCTTTATTAACCCAATTGGTACTTTATACACTCCAGCACTTAAAGGTATTCATACTGGTCAGAAGTCTTCTCATGGGTTTATTTCATTTTAAAAGTAGTAGGACCCCATACAACCTTTTGGGGTGCAGCTCAGTGTCATGAACATGAGGAGGCAGAAAGTATATAAAATACAGCAGAGAATAGGCAGAAGTAGCAGAAAAAAAACAGAGAGAGGAAGCATCAAGCCTATTAGGAAACACTGCCAGCAGTACAGTCTACCAGTTTACAGAATAATTTTGGACAAGGAAAGTGATAACAGAACATCATAGCTCAGATACTTTAGGAAAGAAACAGACAAAACACCTGACTACTCACTAACAAGAAAGTTCCTTAGAGCATCCCTTGGTAAAATATCCAGGTGCTGCCCAGCAGTGCATGGGAGTGATAACTGCTGCCACTGCAGCCTGTGTTTTCCCAGAAGTCAGTGTCTTTAATATGTTTGCAATGTGTTCAGAAAACAACAACAAAAAAAAATCTACTCATTAAAAAAAAAAAGAAAGTTTCCAACAGCCAGAAGTATTTTCAAATGCAGATGCACTCTGGCCTGGTGGATTCAGCCAGAAAGTTTTGAAGATAATGCAGTGATTGGTCTTGGAGGGAGTAAAGTCCGGGAAAAAAAAGAGTGAGCCCAAGGAAATTATAAGAATGGTCTTTACACTAATTAACTGAGCTTCTTCATCCACTCCTTAGTGACAGAGGGGCACGGAGAGGTGGAAATTAGGCTGCACCTTAACTGCAGTCACTGTGAGATGGACGAGTGCCATGTTGATCTTGAGACTCAAAAAGTCATTTGCTTTTGTGAGCCAGGCACAGAATTGGCAGAGGATGGTGTGTCTTGCACAGGTAAGTAGGTGTGTGGGGTACTGCTAACATGTGGGACAGAAAATGCATGGCCAAAGGCTGTGGTTTGGACTGTAAGACATCCTGAAAGTGCTGTCTAATCTTTCTTAAACCTGGCTGCAGTAGAATGTTACTTTCTTCCCTGCTGGTGTATGCTGCAGAGCTCTTTTGCCAGGATATAGCCTCAGCAGCTCTGAGGACTGGGGCACTGAGCAGCAGTGCTGCTTTGCTCTGCAGTATATATTTGGCTTCCTGGGCAGATCTGAGCAGAGTCAAATTCTGTGTCTGCTTGTGCTGGTGTTCAGAGTCTGCTCTGAAATCCTGAAAGTTTGCTTGCTGAAAGAATTTTCCAGTTGAACTTAAATTTCAGACCAGTTCTTTAAAGCGGGGGGGAAAAAAAAAGTGCAAGGTGAAAGAAAATATGATTCCTGTGGAACTGGACATTTAAGGTAAAACTTCAGAAACTGTGGGAAATTCTGTGCAAGATTTCTCTGAGAAAAACTAAATACAGTGCCTGTGCTTGCCTTTCTTTCAAAACCAGGTGCTCAGAGCTCCATTACTAGGTTTGCTTCCTATTCTTGTGCAGCATTTAGAGCAGGTCACCCCAGGGGTTTGGGATCCTGCTTTCAGCTTTGTCACTGGCATGGGAAAATTGTTGGTTTTTTACCATTCCTGCCTGTAAGATGGGTAAAAAGTATGGTCATTTTGTCAAGGTGAAGTAAAGCTTAATAGCACGATCCCACATGAAGATGCAGCTTCACTGCACTGTTATCAGGTTTTTCCGCCTGGATTACATGCATTTAGGAGATGATATATTGCAGTCCTCCTGCTTTTGCTGTGATTTGGCATTGATAGCAGCACTTTAACCCAAACAATGTAATGTTCTTTTCACCCCCCCCCCCCCCCCCACCAACCTCCTGCCCCTGGTTTTTATGGTCTTGCTTTTGCACCCAGGGAGTTCACATGTTAATTCATTGATAGTGAACCATCTGTTTTAATGACTTGGTAGTAATTGAGAAAAGTGAAACAATGAGGTGTGAGAAGTCATAGATCCTGAGAACTGGTCATGCCAGAGGTTGCTCCTACGCTATTGGAGCAGCAGATGGCGAATGGAAAGAAGAGCAGAAAAAAATCTGATGGCAAAAAAGTGGCTCCTGGAAGATAATTTCAAACATGTAATTCCTTCTTTCTGTTGCAGCTGAGCCAGTGGTTCGTCTCCCTTTCTCCTTGGTCTTGTCTGTAGTGACTTCAGCATTGGTGGCTGCTTTAATTTTGGCTTTTTCAGGAATCATGATAGGTGAGTGTTTCTCTGCAGAAGATATTTTTGTATGAGGGCTGGATCTGAGCTAGGGATAATTGGGCCCTGAGAGGCAAAAGGATTCCGGTTTTGAGCTACTGCTGTATTTAATGACACCTTCCCACACACATCTTCAGATTTCTGTAGTTGTTTCTAACCACAATGACCAATTCGAGGAGGCTTCAGTTACTGACTGCATCTCAAAAGAGACATTATTTTTTGTGTTGTACTGTGCAGTTGCCAGAACACAGCTGCTTCTGGTTTTGTGAGATCTGCTGCTGTTTAATGCCTAAAAGCTTCTTTATTTGTGTGCCTATGTACAGATTTCACCTCTTAATGCTCTTTAAGCTTAAACTCTCACATAGGTTCCCCTTTCACAAACTGCTCCTTAGTAGGATGTGGGTATTCTTGGAATTTTTATTTGAAGTTATAAAAGGTATTTTTCACCTTTTCGTGTTCTTACTTTAAACAATCGCTCACTTCCATTTGGTGCAAGCAGAATAGATTTGAATCAATGAAAAGGAGTCAAGGATTCAAACCACAGCTTTGCCACCATTCTTTGTCAACACTGTGTGTGGTCTGGGGAAGGAGGGGGATGAACCAAGAGCAGGAAATTAGATCTGCACAGCTGTTTCGGTTTTAAGGATTTCAGGAGTTATCAGTTGCATGCACATGGTCCTACACCTATGATTTCTGTCCTGACAGTGCCTTTTTACAATGACTAAATACTTCTCAGGAGTGGAAGAGTAATCCTCTTTCCATCCAATGAGCCTATCATTTCCATCTCAGGAAAGGGCAACGATTTAAAAAATCAAAGCAAAGGCAATGAGGAGGAAAATGGAGGACAGGAAGGGTTTGTGGATAGGTCATTACATCCATCTGCCTTTGCAAGTGCATGTTTACCCCTTCAATTTTTCCCCTGAGCAACATCTGCTGGAGAAGATGCAATAACTATTGCCGTCACAGTCTTTGGGCTCAATCCAGCTCCCACAGAAATCAATAGCGATTTAGCCTGCTCCTGATTGTCATCTTCTTTTAGAAAAAATCCTGCAATATCAGTTAATATTTCAAGGAATATCCTCAGGATGTCTTCTTTCAAGGTGTGGTTTTTAATGGTGTTGCAGAAGTATCAGTGAAGTGATGCAAGGAATATAACATACCATAAACTGACTTCAAATGTAGTCCTACTCTGTTGTTTAGAAACAGAGGAAGTTTTGGAAAATCAGTTATTTTTAATGTACAATGTGTTATTCTGAGGAAACAGCTTAGGCTATCCATTTTGAACAATTTGATGCAATAGTTCATTTCAGACTTTAGTCACTTCTATGTGATTTAGGAAAGTTGGTTATACAAGACACCACAAATTTCAAACTGGACTTGTATTTGGAAGGTCTGGTTAAACTAAATAGAGCATAAAAAAAGCATCAGAACTCTGAGATGTGAAAAGTGAAAGTCCTTTTACTTTTCCCAGACAGTCCATGAGCAAAGCCTGTTTCTTTGTAAGATGTGTAAATCAAAGGTTCCTGGATATCTTCAGATCCCATTTTCTATCTGAAATTATTCGATGTACAGAAATATGCCAGTGTCACTGGCTGGTTTGATTGCCAAGACTGGCCACACCACAGTGAGTCCCAGTGAGAAGGGCTGTCCCAAATCCAGTCTCTGGGGGTGGTTAACTGTGTTCTCTGTGTTTAGTGTATCGCCGCAAGCACCAGGAGCTGCAAGCCATGCAGATGGAGCTGCAGAGCCCAGAGTACAAACTGAGCAAGCTGCGTACCTCCACCATCATGACAGACTACAACCCCAACTACTGCTTTGCAGGGAAAACCACATCCGTTAGTGACCTTAAAGAGGTGCCTCGAAAAAACATCTCCCTCATCCGGTAAATTCATCTTTGCCTTCCCCACCCTTCTCGTTGTACACCCACGTATCCCTGCTCTCCTAGAGAGGTGTGAATGCATGGCTTTGTGCAAATTCTTGTGCACTTTTAGGTTCATACCCCTTTTCATAAAATGTAAAGCTGCAGTAGTTAGGCTCGTGTGCGGTGGACTAGATTTTGGCATTCGCCTTGACCTTCTACAGGTGCAGTGTTCATCTCCTGGGATTGTGAGGAGAACTGAATAATCATCACCAGTAATTCAGTTACATCTTTTACAGGCTATGCAGTGGATGGCCCATTGCCATGAGCTGATGAAATTCTGGGATGGCTGAAGTTTGTAGGAGGCTCTTTTAAATCTTTGATGGGATCTTTGGTAAAGACAATGACATCCTTAAGTGCAATAGCAAGGAAAGGAATGGATTTGAAAATGCCAGACAGAATTTAAAAGTCAGGGATATAAAGCCAGCAACATAATTGCGTTTAGATGAGAACTTCTGAAAAGTTTTAAAGTGTCTCCTAAGAAAAACTTGAAAATGCTGAGTTCTTGCACACTGCTCTACTGAAGGATATTTGTGAATGTGACAGTACCCTGATACCATGCAGTGTTACACAAAAAAAATAAAAAGTGGAAGCAGGAGTCCTTGAAAAATTGGGAAGCTTAAAGTGCTGAAAAAAAATTATGCTCAGAGCAGTCTATGTAGTCTGCAATGTTTTGCTGTCTCTTATCTCATTCCCCCTTAACCTGCACATCTTGCTGGACTGCACCTGGAGGTTTCCAGTGTACCCTGTGCTGCTGCTCCCTTTGCCACTTGGACTTTGAAAGGATTTTTGAAGTGTGGCAAGCAGATAGCAGAGGATACAGCTGGGAACTGACAAGGGAAGGGAAAGTGGACTTTTTGGAAGGAGGGTGAGTTATGAGCTATAAAGATCTGGCCTATCCCCTCAGTTCGTAATAGGTTGGTCAGACAGAGCCAAGAATGGTGTCTCAAGCTGATACCTACAAAATGTTATTACACAAAGTGGTTGAGTCACAGGCAACACGAGTCCTCAGTGTGGTTTCACTGCCAGACTGGTTCTAACCTGGCAAAACTAGAGACAGAGCTTAAGGAACAGCAGAGCAGATTGTTCCTCCTTGTTCATATGGACAGGAGGGCAACAGCCCATGCAAAAGCAGTCCATAGATACAGCAGAGAACAGAATCAGTGCAGTCCTCAGCCCAGACCTGGCTCTAACAGGAGAGTGCATGCTGTAGCAGAGAGCTGTATTGAGAGCCTTTTTCCCAGACCGAGATGCAGGGATGCCTCTCAGAGGTTGGAAAAGCTACTGCCCAATGTGCAGCCCATGCAGGGTTAAGAGGGACTCAGGATTTGGGGTGCAGCCTCATCCTCTGCCATATTTCACCATGTCATTATGAGAGGCCACTGATGTGAAATAGCTGTTGTTGTACCAGTTGACTTAATGTTGAGTCAGGAGTGAATAGACAAGTATGCAAAATCTGTACCACAAGGACATGGAACAGGATCTATTTTATGATTACTCTTATTCCTTTCTCTTTTTCTTGCCATCTTATTCAAAATAAAACTGTAAGTTTCATAACATGATCACTGCCAGAAACAATTCTCAGCACAAATTCCTAGAGCTGAGTGCTTTACAAAGCACTGTCATCACCATTTACTGGCTAAGGTACTTGCCCAGAATCACACAATAAGTCAGGAAAAGTTATTTGGTTTAGAATTCAGGTCTTTTAAGAATCATTGTGCCTCCTAGTTTCTTGCTCAATGTTTTGTTTAATGGTGATGCAGAAATATCAGGGGAACTGTTAATGCGTTTAGGGTGTGTAAACACCAAGACTAAAGTCCTGTCTTTATTGATCTGTTTTGGAGCACCCACCACTGAGCACTGATACCAAAGCCATAGATGAGTACTCTCTGTTACGTGCTGCAATGCCAGCAGCTCGATTTCACTGGGGAATGTTCACTTCCATGGACTGCTTTCCCTTACAATTAAATAAAATGTAGGTTCATGAAAGATCTCACCAAGGTCTGGTGAGACCATATTGTCAATATCCAGTTCTCCCTGTTACACTGCCATGAAAATTGTGAGCCCGTTCTGTGAGCTGTGTCCACAGTGTTATAATGTGTGTTCTCTGTAGTAAAACCTTCTTGTCTTCTCTGGTCTGTCCAGGGGTTTGGGCCACGGAGCCTTTGGTGAGGTATATGAAGGTCAGGTGACAGGGATCCCCAGCGACCCCACTCCCTTGCAGGTGGCTGTGAAAGTAAGTGACAGTGTATGAGTTATCATGATGGTTTCATGCACCTTTCACCCCAGAGTCCCAATGCATTGTAACAATGAAGACGAGTGAAGTGTTGCTATAAGTCCTGAAGGATGTGGCTAGAAATATTGCTGCTGTGTTGCAGCACTGTAATCCATCACAGCAATGGTACAGCTTGTAGGATATGGGTATGTGAGACTACTAAAAGAGGTCTGTGCATAGTAAATAGGCAAAGATTTCCCACAGAGCCACAGCAGGCTGCAGGAATGAGAACTAAATCTATCCTCTGTCTATCCTCCCCATGCTACACCTAGCTGGTAATCTGTCCAAAAGTCTTCTCAGGGCCAAAAGCTGCTGGCACATACATCAAAGACCCTGCAAGTAGGAGATGGCTGGTTTTCCAAGGATCTCACCACTCCCTTACAGGATGGATATGCATTGGATGTGAAGATAAATCCTAAGAGACCCTGGTAGAGTTATCCAGGCCTTCAGCAGTCTAGCTGGTTTGTTTTCCCTTAGAGATTACATAGCAGCACTGTTCTGCTGTTGGTTGTAGATCCCAGCCTTGCAGGAAGGTAGGATCATTGAACTGCAGGGAACTCAGGAGCTGTGATCTCATTCCTCATCCTCTATACAGCAGAGTCTCATATGTTGAACCTTCTCTGTGCACTCTGGGCTGTTTCCTTTGCTGGGAGGAGGATGACAGTGGCGTTGATGGGTCAGGAGTTCTGATATTTACCTTTCAACAGGCTTCACAGTCTAGTTTAACAATGCTCTAGTGGCTTAGAGTGAAGTTTCTTTTAAAGAAGGATTGCTGCAGACAATGTTAGTGCCAGGTGTTCTAATCTGTAAGTTGAAGTATCTTCTCCTTGTCAACCTGTTCTTTCTTTTCCAGACATTGCCAGAAGTGTGTTCAGAGCAAGATGAGCTCGACTTCCTCATGGAAGCTCTCATTATTAGGTGTGTATGAATCACATCAACACCACTTGTGTAGGCTTGCAAAGCCCAACAAAATAAAGAAAAAAAGGTTTTTTATAGGTGGTGTCCTCTCAGCACATCTATACAGTAATTTTAGCACAAATAGCATAGGCATTACCATCCTTTTCTGTTCTTCTTACAAATGAAGAGGCACCAAATGATTAAAGGCTAAATTTTGAAAAGGATCCACATTGGTTTTTATTACCCAAAGTGAAAAATTTAAAGCCCAGATTTTAGAATTGATAATAAGATTTTTTTGATTTCTCTTAGAGAGGAGAACATACCTTAAGAATTTGGGTTTGACTAATCAAAACTAACAGATGACATTTACTTTATGCTGCTGTCATGTCATGTGTCAGACAGCAGAATCCATGGAGCTACTTTCCATCTCATTTGAGAGGTGGGGAAATAAGGAAGTATTAGAGACTTGACCTCAAGAAACATCCCCCAAGAGCAGATCCCTGTGTCAGTGTGTTACTTAGAACAACGTTGCCCTAGCCCAACTTCTGCCTTGGATGGGGAAATTAAAAGCAGACTTTTCTCTGTTATCAGACATGTTCTGCTTCCTATGCCCCACAAGTCTTGCTGTAGCCCAAAAAGAATGCAGAAAATAGGGAGAGGAAAAGCAAAAGCCACTGCTTCCCCACCTCTGTCTGTCCCTACACTGTCCAGACGGACACGGAATGCAGGGGTAGTGCTTTAGCTTTATACAGCTGCCCAACCTTTGAGATTTGTTATTTTCTGGGGAAAAAAAAAATTTAAAAAGTGCAAAAACAAAACATTCCCTGCAGCAAAAAGGTTTGAATGGTTTCTGCTTTTTGGGTCAAAGTTGCTCCACAAGTGTGTGTTCCTGTCTCCGCAGCAAGTTCAACCACCAGAACATCGTGCGCTGTATCGGGGTGAGCTTGCAGGCCCTGCCCCGCTTCATCCTGCTGGAGCTGATGGCTGGAGGAGACCTGAAATCCTTCCTGAGGGAAACACGCCCTAGACCGGTGAGGAAAGAGTAAATTGTGATTTGTTTAGAGAGCTGCTGCCACGAGGCAAACACTTGGCTATAAAAGAGCTCATCTCTGCAGATACTATTTCCCAGCATTTTAGATGGTCACAAAATTTCTGCTGTTGTAAGATCACATGAAGGCAGGAGCCAGCAGGATATGGGACGGATGCTGCTGGGGCTATGCAGAGGTGCCTCATCCCTGGACTTTGCTAGATAACATTGCAGATATTACCTAAAAAAAGAACAGAAGCAAAGTCTAAAAAAAAAAGTTAAACTCAATTCTTACGTTCTTTTTGCCAGTTGGGGGCAGGCTGGGGGAAAATGTTGAGCTAGTAATATTAAAAAAATAAATCCATTATTCAAACTGTTGATCAGATGCGTTTCTGTGGATATCTGTCAGTTCAAATTTGGCATAGGCAAGGAGACAATCCAGCCTGGAGGTGTCAACTTAATAGAAAATATCTTTAGTCCAGAGTTTTAAAGATTTTCCCCACTGAAATCAACACCAATAGGAAGAGACAGCTAGAAATGTGGAAGAAATTAATTATGACTTCTAGAAAGAATTCAGTATTTCAGAAGAATAAAGCTTCCTCTGAGTCCCTGGGTCAGAAAGTCACACAGATATTGCTTAAGTTTAAGGCCAGGGCCCAGCTTCATATTTTGTCTTTAAGTTTGACAGAGGACAAAATGCTGCATTTTATCAGTACAAGAATGACACAAATTTGTTCTAACAGTTATCAATAAGAGTCTTCCTTGAGGCATCTGGAAACAGATAAACTTTTTATTTTTTCCATGCAGTGTGGTTTTCAGACATATAAAATGGTCTGTGAGATTCAGAAGCACTGCAGTCTTGAACAGGTTGCAATAAAGTGGCTCCTTCCTGGATAAGGAGGGTAAACACCCAGAAAGGAAAGTGCTCTGAAATCTGAGCAAGCAGACTTTATAAATACAGGTTGTTTTTCTGAAGCACCTAGAGATGCTCCTACAAATGGGCTGAACTTGGTTGCAGGTGAATGGGGAAATTCATGTTCTGCAATGTGGTCCCCACTCTCACCCAGTGCAGTGTAAAATGGCACAGACAGGATATGCTGCCAGGTAAGAGCTTTGTTCAAAACTGCCAGGCCAGGCTGTGCAAGATGTGGGAAGGGGCAGGTGAAACACAATGGGGTTTGGCTGCTTAAATTAGGGAAGCCGGCTCAGTGATGGTATAGATCTTGTGAGGAACCACCAAGAACACTAGTCCTGCACAGGAGGAATTTTTACCTACTTGCAGTAAAATGAGCCAGCTCCTTTTGTAGATGAAACAGCCCTTAATCTCAACAGGATGAAGTCATGGGAGTCTTCTGAGCCTTCTGATCTGAGGAGTTTTTTTTTTTTGTTTGGCCCTACCTCAGTCATGAGTTCTTCCTTACCGTGACTTCTGTTCCTGTCAGCAGTAGCTCTGTGCAACCCCTGTGAAAACCCATGGCAGAAGAGGCTGATGGTTCACTCCATTGCTTCCTTTGTATTTATCTTTCTGTCCTCACAGTTGCTCCTCTTCTTTTCCATTCCTCTTCTTTCCTTATTGTCTTGGTCTGAAAAGACAGGTGTCTGCTTAAGGAAGGCAGGAGCCTCCCTTGAAATGGAAAATGTAAACCCCCTCCCTCCAAATTATTATAATTTTGAAATTAAAAGGCTCTCAGGCAAAGATATGGGAATAGGAATAACAGTTCTTTACTAGGAAAACTAAAAATACAAATGCAGTAGTACAAACAAACAAAAAAAAAAAACCAACACTGACAGAACCAGAATACGACCTGACACCCTGTGTGTCAGGGTGATGGTGACAGTCCTATTCAGCAGCTGTGGCTGCAGCCCTCCTGCAGTGCCAGCTGTGGTTCTGTTGGAGCAGGGATCCTGTAGAAGGGTGAAGTCTTCCCCTGAAGGTCCAGTGGTGGTGTAGATGGGCCTGGTTTTCCTCTGGGAATCCAGTGGAGAAGAAAGCTGCTCCTCTGGGAAAAGGCTGCCTGTGGTGTTCCAAACCTCAGATTCTATCCAGGTAGGAATGCTTGGCTCCTCCCCCTGGGCAGAGCACCTCAGAATGGGATGATGTATTTTTATCAGTTGTACAGAGACACTCAGTGGCCCATTAACAGAAGATATCTCTTGGAGGGAGGATTGGTTGTGGAAGGGATAAAGAAAACTGCACAGTTAACAGAAGAAAACTGCCCCACCTCTGACAGAAATGGAATATGCACCCCCATTTCCAACCTAAGACCCTTGTCTTTCCTGACCTGTTTGAGGTTATCTGAGACTGACCATAGCAACTACCAGGCACAAGGCCTTTTCCTGTCATCTTGAAGATTCTCCCTGGTTTCAGCATTTAACCTGCCTCCAGGAGTGAAGCAGACCTTGGATTGATGCCCCTGTTTTCTGCTTCGTCCCATGTCTCCCACTCTTTGGGAAAGCTGAGCTTCAGATACAGATGGGTAGTGCAAGCTGAAACTGATCCAGGAAAGCAGTTTCCATTCCCTCTTTAACAGCTGGGTGAACGTGGGCAGCCTGACTCTGTGCAGACACAGATCCACACTGTTTTGCTCCATTCTAATACCTTCTTTCCCCTTGCCTTGCCCTGCTTCTGCAACCATCCCATGTGGTGTCTGCCTGGCAAGGATGACAGGGTAATTCATTATCTGGCTGCTGGGGCAGCTTCTGAGGGGCCAGTGGCACCTGTGAGTGCTGAGAAATCAGCCTCTGGTGCGTTTTTGACTGCTGGCTCACAAACTGCGAGGCAAGGAGACTATGACTGATGAGAACTGAGATGTGTGCAGGGCACTGTGCTCTGTGAAGTATGGCATCCAGCCCTGGAAGTGGATTTACCCTCTGCATACACTCGAGGTGTGACAGAGTCTCTGTACATAAGGCCTGTGGCTCAGTGCTGGTGGATGTATCATTGCACTGCTCTTAATGAACCCTGAGCTGCTTTGTTCCTCCTGTTGTTCATTCAGGGAAGACAGGCAGAAGGTGGGCATAGCAGGCTGGATGTCCAGCTTTTCAGGGCTATTAAAGGAAAGGAAAGACAAGGGACAGTGCAGAGTAAAGAGGCTTGGATGAGCTTTGCTTCCAAAAGGACTTAATTCAACACAAGCCCTATCTGGAGGGTGGCAGAGATGCACTTCTTACTCTGCAGTAAGCACCATATGAATTACTGCCTTTCTCCTTATTTTCTTTCCACTTTTGTATTTTCCAGCTAATTTCTTTTACCTTGTCTTTCCCACCTACTTTTGCTTTCAGCCTAATTACAAAAGAGATTTACATGTTCAGTCTCAACCTTCATCCCCCACTTGCTCTTTTCACTTCCTTGGCAGTAACATCAAATTCATTTTCTAGTTTTGGATAGACTTAATAGAGGTGTTAAAGACACTAACTTGGCACTAATTCCAAGGCTTATGGAAAAGGAAAGCACCATGCTGGAGAGACCACCGGTTGCCACTGGCCAGCTACAATCTGTGTGGCTTGGAACAAGACACCTGCAGCGCGCTGCTGTGCCCTGGCACACTGAAAAGCAGGAAACGGAGTGGAGAGAATGGTGAAGGAGAAGGTGAATGAAGGGAAGGGAGGACTGAAGGCATTGCAAGGGGCATGAAATGGAAAGCTAAGGCAACTGCAGGAGGTGTCAGAGCACAGGATCCAACTTAATGAGATGGACATGCTGCTAGCATTGTTGCATGTTGTTCATCTGTGTTCTTCATGGAAAAAATGAAGTTTCAGCTCAGCCAACATGTAATGATTTTTCTGGACTCTAAGCAACAATGATCATCACTGATACAAGATCAGTGATTCTCATGGAATATGTCCATTTATGCCATCTAGGTCCACTCCATAAGGTTCAGATTCATAATTCTCCATGAGCCCATGGCTGACAGCCCTGAAGGCTTTTTCTGTTCCATTTCTAATAGAGTTTCACATCTATTACAGGATTACCTCTTCCCCCTCATCTGCAGAGAGACAACCTAGTAGATTCAGAGACTCCTGGAATTGGAGCCTTATCTCAGTGTGAGCATTGCAGAATTGTCCATTCTGGGAGGTTCAGTGCTGATCTTTCTCACACACAGCACAGCAATCAAAGCCCAGCTCTGGGAGAGAAATCATATATGGATAGATGATTCCCCTCCTTTGTGTTGCACAGAGCAGTGATTACACTGAACAATACACAGAATTTCATTCACCTTTGGCAACATTCAGCCTCACCTGGGAGGTGTCACACCAGTGGTTCCAGCATGCCCACTGCCCTGAGCAGTGGAGCATTGCAGCTGGCATCATCCATTCATCTGGGGAGCAAAAGCTGTAAAGCGAATCTTTTGGTGTGTCTCAAGGCTGCCCCCTTGCAAAATGAATCCCAAACCTCCATTTTTCAAACAAATTACATGGCTAAATTGTCCTTGGCTGGGCAGTCACATCTGTTTTAGGATTGTATTTAGCCAAATAAAAGGTGGAAGGAATTCGTCTGAGGAAGGAAAGGAAAGCAAGAGGAAAAAAAAAATGGAAAAAGAGAAAAAAGCTATGCAGTTCAAATCAAATGAGCTTGTGGCTTCAGCCTACAAACTGCTTTGCAGTATAGCCTGAGTCTGAAATCGATTGTAGAGTAAAGAATTGGGCTTTTTGCTCAGTTTTCACTTCAGGTTTCTGACCCTTGCTCAAAAGAGCAGGGAATGGGTAGATTGAGATATTAATTTCCCCTTGGTTATGCCCTGCAAGGGAAAAAGAAGATGTGCATTCTTTCTTATTGTAGCCATCTTGTGTAGCTGGTGAGTCACTTTAACTCACAGAGGTAAAAGAGATTATTCCCCCTTCCCCACAAAATGGCAGGGAAAGAGCTGCTTTATGTCTGCAGAAAATTTACTCTGTAAAGAGGAAAGTTTAAGAGGAGATGCAGTCCAGTGTTTTAAAAAATCAGTGAGTATATATATATGCAATGAACTATACTGTGTAAATAATAAAATATAGGCAGGTGGACAAGGTGTCATTTTGGTTTATGGCCCTGCATTGAACAAAGCAGGCTTTGTTCAGACAAAGATGCACCATTTTTCAATTATTTCATTACTCAAGTTTTGAGGCCAGGTTTTTTTTTCCTAATATCTTCAGAGGACATTAAGTTGGTTTTTTGGAGTTTTTTGAGGGGTTTTTGTTGCTGTTGTTGTTTGGTTTTGGTTGTAGTTTTTTGTTTGGTTGATTTTTGGTTTTTGTTTTTAAGTTTTATCAGCCAATGTCCACTGTTTAACTAGTGGCTGCTGCAGAGCCTGGACTTATTTCCAGTCCCATTTTGCAGTGGTTTAGGTGGGATGGCCAGCACAGCATGGCATGCATCTGGAGATGGGCTGGAGAGCCAGCAGTCCCTGTCACTGGAGTGCTGATTTGTGCACTGGTGTGAGAACCCCAGGGGCAGGTGTGCCTTTTGGGGACTAGGCTGGCTGGTTGGTGTCCTAAGAGAGAGCCAAGGAGTGTGACAAGCTTGTTTGGTCCAATAACTAAGGCTGATAAACACTCAGCCATGAAATGGTTGTTGTGCCGTGAGCAGTCACTGCCACTCGGTTGTTTCTCATCACTCCACTGGCAGCAGCACTTCCCCCCAGTGATCCCCAGGGATCACTGAATCTCAGCACAGGGATCACTAAATCTCACCACGGGGATCACTGATTCACCCCTCAGGGCAGCAGCTGTGGTTTGGCTGTAGGCACTGAGTGTGAATCCTGTCCTTTCCACTGAAGCATCTGGCTCCTCCTGGCAAGGGCTGTGGGCTTCATCAGAGGGGCAGGAACAAGGAGCTGGCAGCCTTAGTCTTCCATAGCCATTGGCTACACAGAACTGTGTCAGTGCTCAAAGGGGCAAGATAAAACCTACACAGATGTGGAGGAGGGAAAGAGCAAATGTGACTCATGCCATTATACGAAATGTCATTCCCGTGGTTCAAGGTGACTTTAGAGAAGAGCTGGCAATAATACAAAGAAACTCAGTGAAGAACAGTTCAGGCTACAAATCTCAAAAATCGTGCTGAAAATTCAGAAGAATCTGCCCTAAGAACTGGGGGAAATTCTTACAGGGGCATCCCAATGGAGCTGGAAAGTCAGATCCAGCTGATTCTGTCTGTTCTGATTCTGTCTCTGGGATCTGTATAACATTGTGCCTGCACATCCTTTCATAGTTCATGGTATGAACTCTCTCTTGTGCATTTTCCTAATCCCTTTGCCACTTGCTGGAGAGCTCCCAGTGCCGTAGCAGTGACAAATCACACCATATTTCTGCTTTTAACCCATGTGTGTGCCTTGTCTTTTGGCAGAATCAGCCCTCCTCCCTCTCCATGCTGGACTTGCTCCACGTGGCCCGTGACATCGCTTGTGGGTGTCAGTACCTGGAGGAGAACCACTTCATTCACAGGTAGGTGAGCCAGTCTGGGCAGGACTTGCAGACAGGCCAGCAGAGGCTCATGATGCCCTGCTCCATGTTTGTGTCCTGCTGCACTCTAGTGGCTGGACACCTTTAAACAAGGTAGACAAAATCATAGAAGCAATAAAGAGAGGAGCTGCTATAAATCAGGCTGGCAAAGATCTGTAGTTTTGCCAAAGATCCTGAGCCCTGTCTCAGGGCCTGCACTTATGCAGCCTATTTGGCTACTCTGTAAATGGACACAAGCTTGTGACAGAAGTGTTTAAAGCTCTCCCTGCCATGAATTTTATTTAGTGCCTGTCTGCTCATTTTGGAAGCCTTTTCTTCTCACTCTCAAAGAGCACCTGTACAAGCACAGCCAGAAGGGCAGCATCAGGTGACCATTGCTCCTGCAAAACAGGGTGTTTGGCAGGAATCTAGAATCTGCCTGTCGAGGAGAGATGAGCAGAGAGGTGGCAGTTCACAGTTCTGTAAGTTGCCCACAAGTTGTGCCATTGTGGTATTCAGACCTCAAGGTTTACTGCAGCCCAGCAGAGGTGGAGCTTGGAGCTTTACCTGCATACACAGATTCAGGCCCATAGCTTCAGTATTCAGAGCAACACCTGCACACTGTTCTGGCAGTGTGCTGACACCTGTCTCTGGCAGTACAACAGCCTTTTGACAACGCTTGAACAAGCACAGTAGGAACAGATCAGTGGATCATTCCCCAGACAGCTTGATGTTGGGACTAGTACATTCTGAAATCAGCTCCTCTTCTTGCACTCCTTAGAGACATAAAAATAACTCCTGGGGTGAAGGGAGGCTCACAGGAGGCCCACTCTTTCAACTGGAAGATGTTATGTGAAGTTAAAAGAGAAAATGTTAAAGAACAAAACTTTTCCTGCTGTGGGGATAGATTGGAGCTGGGGACATTGCAGTTATCCATAAGCACTGACTTTTCTGGCTGTTTAGGTTCTCTGCAGCTCAGGAAAGTAGGTACTATTTTTTGTTTTCTTTTTGACTTGCAAAACTGTCAAATGATTAAGTGGCTCTTCTCTTTCTGTTTCTTTTCTTCCCTTTCCTCTTAGGGATATTGCTGCCAGGAACTGCCTCCTTACCTGTCGGGGCCCTGGGAGAGTGGCTAAGATTGGAGACTTTGGAATGGCCCGGGATATATACAGGTAGCAGAGCCAAGCCCAGGGTGCCTGCAAGTGGGAGGTCCCTGAAATGGGGGAGGACCAGTGTTTGTGCAGCCTCTTGTGCTGTTCTGTGTAACCCTGGTAAGGCAAGAGTGGAGAGATCCCAGCCTGGTGAATCCCAGCTGATGCATCCCTGATGTTTGCCTTATACTGTCCTGGACAGTTTTCTCCTGGGCAGTGAAGTCTAATGGTCATGGAAGGTTTTCCCTCCCTCCCTCTTGGACTCTGTCCTCAGTTTCCTTTCTTTATGTTCTCCACACTGAATGGCATTGATGTGCCCTTTTGTTTTGTGATCCTAAATCATTCTGAGTTTAATCTCTCTCCTTGATGCTACCCCTGCACCTTTGGTTTGGTGTCATCAGTAAATTTCCTCAATTTACTGCAGCTAAAGGAGGAAGGTGTAGAAGAAGGTCAGGAAAATATAATCACCCAAACTGGCATTCAGCCAGGACACAGGGTTAACTACTTTTCCTCTTGCAAGAAGTGCCAGAAAATCTTTAATGACCATAAGCAGTCAGGGCTGCAGTTTGATGTCTCATCTTCCATAGAGCACCTCTAGAAGTGCAGCTCCATATCCTGCTGTGCTGAGGAATTGATTTGCCCTGACTCAGAAGAAGGAATTCCTCATGTTCAGTCACCTGCGCAGTTTTTTCCAGTGCCTTGCCTTCTTTTTTTCCTGCTTGGGGACTCTTCTGTGCAATTACTAAGCCAGGTTTGGCTCTGCTTAGCTTGAGTTCTGACAGTATCACAGCCTGAGGTGCTGCAAACAGAGTGGTGAGTGGAGAAACCAAGTGCACCAGAGCTGCTTGGGTTTTTTCCCTCTACAAAGAGTCCCCATGCAGCCCCACTGTCAGATGGGGCTCTGCTGGGACAAAGTAGCATCTGTCACCCTCACACAATCAGCAGAACCGACTGCCAAGCACTTTGGTGCTGAGCTTTCAAAGGTGCCTTTGAAGCCTGCATGTGTTTCCTTGTCCAGGAATACCCTTTGGATGCTCAGGCTGTGCTGTTTTGATCAGTGATACCAGCTTGCATGAGCAGCCTGTGACTGCCAGCATGGGATTTGGGGCTTGCAGGTTTTATTTCAAATGACAGCAGCTCCAAAGGACTGTTGTAACTCCTGTCTCAGGAATATTTTTGTGCTACTGTCCCAGATCTAATGACCTGGCATCCTCCTCAACAAGCTCCTTGTTCCTACAAAGGGGTTTGGATTTTACTCACAATGCTTTAGACTGGGTATATATGGGATAGATTTGGTTTATTCTTGCTGGGTATGCCCAGGATGACCATGTGTGAGATGAGGTGGGGAGATCTTTCTGTGGTTGAAAAGGACAGGAGGAAGCTCTGCCAGCAGCAGTTACTGTGTTAGTAATTCCCTAGGAGGATGAGGATTACTGGTTTACCAGATCAGGCCTGAAGTGATGTAGATGAAACAGCACTTCGGTGGTTTGCTCTTTTTCACTACTTTTATGAGAAGAAACAGGTCATTTCAGCACTTAAATTGTTCCACCTAAATTAGTCTCTTCTCTGGCTCATAATTTTAATATTTGTAATTACAAAAATCCCATATTGATGGCATTTTCTGAATTCTTGGCTGACTCTTGTTCTGTTTGTTTCTTTGCAGAGCCAGCTACTATCGTAAGGGTGGGTGTGCAATGTTGCCTGTCAAATGGATGCCTCCTGAGGCTTTCATGGAAGGGATATTTACATCAAAAACAGACACATGGTGCGCTTCCTTTCCTCTGCTGGCCAGTCTGTCCGTGTTGGAACCCCTTTTGTAAACTGTGAATATTTTCTAAAAACACACATTCTTGTTCACTTCTCACATACTAAAAAAAACAAGCTGGGTCTTTCAGAGCCAGCGGTGTTTGAGGAGACAAGGGAGCAGAAAGGTCAGAGGTGGGTGCTGCAGGGCAGGTGAGGGGGCAGGGAAGGGAGAGCAGAGCAGATGCAGCTGCTGCTCCAGCAGAAAAGCATCAGTCCCACACTGAGGAAAGCAGCATGGGAGGCTGCAGGCACAATCTATCCTGCCAGTCAGGGAGAAGGGTGTCCTGCATTGTGGGGTTTGCCTTTCTCCTGGCCTACAGCAGCAGTTGGAGCTCCTGAGTGGCCAGAGGTGGGGAGGAAAATCAGGAGAGCAGGAGACAAGAGCTCAGGGGGAAGGGGCTGGTGGCCAGGACACAGCTCCTAAGCAAGCCCCAGCAGAGGAGTGACGTCCACACCCTGGTATAGCTGAGCCTTGCCTGTCTCAGCACCAAGCAGAGGAGTTTCCCATTGCTGCATATCTCTCTACAATTTTAACCAACGAGGTTGTGGTTCCCAAGCCATTGACCAGGTGAATGCTTTGGAGGGGTCCTGTCCCAGCCACTGTCCCCAGGGCTTTGCAGGCCACAGCACCCAGGCCAGGGCTGTGTTTGCTAGGGAGTGTTTTCATTGTGCTCTGAGTGACAGGGGGGGTCTGTGGGCCTCAGAGCATCGGTGGGGATTCACTAGCAGGATATTTCTTGCAGGGGTAGCTATTCCAGAGGAAAAGTTTGCCAAAACTTCTCTCCCCAGCTGTGGTCAGTGTGTCAGAAAAGGATGACCTGACTTTCACTTTTGTTACCTCCAGTTGAGCAGTGCTGAGTACAAGGGCAAACAACCACGTTTTACCTACATCATAGGCTTCACTCACCTAGCAATCAACTACTGGTATTTTATATTAAAAGTTTTAAAGTTTACTGTTACAACTTTGGAGCTTATTTAAGTCTGAATCCTATAGCAGGATTTCCACCAGCTTCCTGATCAAAAGTTGCAAAGTTGCTGATGGTACTGAACCTAAGGGCACTGCCCACTGGTGATGGTCATTCCAGTATCCCTCACTTTGTTTTCCTTTGCTTCTGTACTCAGGTCCTTTGGTGTATTGCTGTGGGAGATATTCTCTTTGGGATACATGCCCTACCCCAGCAAAAGCAACCAGGAGGTTCTGGAGTTTGTCACCAATGGAGGAAGGATGGATCCACCTAAAAACTGCCCTGGCCCTGTGTATGAGACTATAATTTTGATATATTTATGCAACTAAGCTTCTGTTTCAGATGCTTTTTCTCTACTCAAAAGTTAATAACTTTCAAGATTGACCTATCATGGCTAATCTGCCTTGTAAAACTTTAGTGCCAGTGATTTCTCTAATATTTAATTTTTCTGTTGTTTTGGAGAATAATTCAGGGCCCATTTGAGAAGTCCTGACCACTGCTTGTTTGGTCAAAGATGACACTATATTTCTCTGTCTTTGGTTAGCTGTGAAACTTCAATGCATCAGACTGTTCACAGGCAGGGAAAACTGGGCTCCTTTATCTCTAGCCCTGCCTACCTTTAGTGTGCTGTCCAAGAAATCCCTTGGTGAATCCCAAGGAATCAGGTGAATGAGTAATTTCTCTGAAACACTGTGGATTTCACCCCACTGGTGGTCACATTCCAGTGGTCGCCAGTGCATCAGTTGTCCCACTCCAGGGAAGGCAGAGAACTCTCATTTGTCAGAAGCAAAAATGGTGATGAATGTCTGTGATTCCCAAGCTGCCATGAGCAGCTGTCACATCCCATGGGATCTGCCGTTCACCAGTGTCTCCTGTTCTCCCTTCCAGCTACCGCATTATGACCCAGTGTTGGCAGCACCAGCCTGAAGACCGGCCAAACTTTGCCATAATCCTGGAGAGGATTGAGTACTGCACTCAGGTACCGGTGTTCGGATGAGAGGGGTGGAGAGGGTTCTTCTTGAGGAGCTGTCTAGACAAGCCAGGGCTCGAGATGAGGAGGCAGCACTGCACTACTGCAGTCAGCAGTCCAGGGAGACTGATGGCAGCCTGGGACCCCTGGCTGGATATTCACCTCATCAGGTGCTTGATCCTTCTTGTCTTTTGCTGCTGAAAGGCACAGGCTGACACAGGCTTAGACAGCTTTACAAAAAGCACACCTGTAGCCCTGCCCCTGCTTACAGAGCGCTGATTCCAACAAGGAAAAGAGCAAAGACAGGCCAGCACCTGCCCTGCTTTCACATGCCTCATCCCAGCCACTCCATCCCAGTGTTTACCCTTAAGGCATAGTCAGCACTGAACAGAAATGGTCCCAGCTTGGAGCACCCTTTGCAGATGGTTTCACCAGCTGTTGCAAATTTTTTTGAATCTGACAGTGCTGGAGTAGGCAGGTGGAGAGATGGCCAAGCTAAAGGAGTGAGGGTTTTTAGGCTAGGCAATGGGGAAAAGATGTGGCTGGCTTTCCAGGCCAAAATCTGATTTACTTATTTTTTAACCACCAGTTTAGCTTGTAAAGAATAGGGCAGTTTGGAAAATGTTCTCCTGCCTGCATCAGCACAGGCTCCTTGTATAATCTCACTGTTGTTCACTTCAGTCAGTTTGCTTTCCCTTGCTATTTGGGAAGCTTGATCTGTTTTTTATGTGTGTTTGGATCCTGGGATTGGAAGGCATTTTTTTCTGCTATCTGTAGCTTGCCATGGCATATAGCAATAAGTAAACGTTGCCAAGATCACTGCATTTTCTCTCAGTTTAATTTTCAAAACTGTTTAAATATCTCAGAACCACAGCCCCTGTGGATTTGGGCTTCAAGGGGTCTGCCAGTATTGTCTTCACTCTGCATTCCCATTCCTCCCTTCTTGTGTGGAGGCAATACTTACATGGTTCCAACTTTCTCAATATTATCTGAGAGTGTTATGAACTCTGAGATGATAGAGATTCCAAAAAGCATTCCCACAGGAAATTTTGCTGGACATAAAATATGCTTTTCATTGGTTTTGTGCCTCTGCTGTTCTATGGTGAGTTTAAGGGTTACTTTCTTTTAAAGAGTTGGATTTTAAAGATATCCTGTTGCATCTCACACCTAACTGCGCTTTGTCTACATCCTCTCCTCATGGAATGTGGGCTCTGGGTGGTGGGATGTGTTGAGATCATAGCGTGACAGCTGCTAGATGTGTGGTGGCTGCAGGCTTTGAGAAATTCCCGTTGTTCCCTTCGGCAGGATCCCGATGTCATCAACACTGCCTTGCCGGTAGAATACGGCCCATCGGCTGAGGAGGAGGAGAAGGTGGCAATGCGCCCCGACGATCCAGAAGGAATTCCTCCTCTCTTGGTCTCAACACACCAAGACAGAAAGGATGATAAGCAAACCCTGCCATCTCCACCACCCCTGCCGTCAGCCGTCACTGCTGGAAAATCTCTAGGGAAAGTGGGAGCCTTGGAACAGCCAGCACAGGGGAAGGTGCAGTCAGCCACAGCGGGGGGACACATCAACATGGCCTATGCCCAGTCCAATCCCCCTTCCGAGCTTCACAAAAGCCGGGGCTCCAGAAACAAGCCCACCAACCTCTGGAATCCAACCTACGGCTCCTGGTTTGCAGAGAAGCAGGCCAGCAAAAACAGTTCTCTGCTGGAGAAGGAGAGGCCCGAGAGGGAGAATCTGGGACAGGAAGGAAACTGTACTGTGGGGCCCAACATTGTGACTGGCAGGCTGCCAGGCTCCTCCCTGCTCTTAGAGCCATCTTCCCTAACAGCAAGCGTTAAAGAAGTGCCTCTCTTTAGGCTCCGCCACTTCCCCTGTGGGAATGTCAACTACGGATACCAGCAGCAGGGCTTACCCTTGGAAAGCTCCACACCACCTTGCGCTAGCAGTTACGAGGACCCTGTCCTTAGAAACAAGAGCCACATAACCCAGCAGGGACCCTGAGAGCCCTCGACCCTCTCTTGACTTTTCCCCCCGTGGCCCCTGAGCCTTGAAGAGATGTCCTGTTACCCAGCACACCACGAGCAAGGCATCGGACAGCATCACCTCCTGTTTTGTGCAAACTTGCTCCAAAAGTGCCACCCTTGACGCTGTAATTTCTACTAACCCGAGTGGCTTCAAACCAGCAGAGCCCCAGCAGAGTCAGAGGAACGAGGGGGAGGGAGGATGCAGGGAACTGTTGTTAACTGCAAGGCCCAGCTGCTGTTGCATCAACTCATCCGCATGGTTGTCGTCATGCCGTTCCTGTGAGCTTTTCCCAGTCGTGCGTCCTCTGCTTCTGTGTCAAGCCGCGGCTCACTGCCATGAGTGTTTCATGTCTGGGCTTTTCCGTGCCAAACTTGTCGTTGCTGTGGAAGACCTGGAGGTCTCCTGCTGCTGGCAGAGCTTGTAGTGGGTTTGGGAAGAGCATCCTCTATCCAAACCAAAAAAAAAAAAAAAAGCGCTGAATGGTGACGCGATGGCACGTTCTCAAGTCTTGGTCCAGCTGCAATCCAGTCTTCGAAAGTCCTTGAATGCACAGTGTTGTGGGAGTGCTGGCAGGGCAATGGAAAAGCCCTGGCACACTGCATCACTTGAAAAGGAGGGGAGAGGAAGCAAAGGATGGGTGTAGATGCTACAAGGCATACGGGGGCGGGCATTGTTTTTGGCTGGGGTTTTCTTTGGTTTCTTTTTGTTCACCTATGCTTTAGCGCCAGAACCCAGTAAAGCCCTTTAAAATTCCTTCTGTCCTACAAAAGTAGGGATGCCCTTCATCAGGAACATGGAAGTGTCAAGTGGAAGCAAGGTGAAGCTTTAATGGACCATGGTCATGAGAGAGACTTTCACCATGCCCTGAAAAGGGACAGCCACCTGCATACCTCGAAAGTTTGAAATAGCCTTTGACATTCACTGTATGAACAACACCATAAAGGCAGAAGACTACATCGTGCCACTGTCTGTATGAAGGGTTTAGAGCCCTTTTTCCTTCGGCAAAATACGTGTATGATAGTGGTTTAAGGACAAACACTCCATTGACTCACTTTGTACACCCCGTGCATGAAAAATATTCCAGTTAAGTGTATTGTCAAAACATAGATGTAGGAAATAATTCATGTGTAAAGATGTGCATTAGTAACTTCCGCTTGGGGTTGGGAGGAGCTGTTTTAGCATGATTGCTATCCAAAAAAGGGGTGCTTATTTCCATAGAAATGGGAGTACTGGGGCATCAGCAAAGGAGTGGGAAGGTGTTCTTCAGTCTGAGACTCTTCATTTCAGTGAAGTGACCCTGAGTCTGGCCCTGGATCCAAAGGTTGAGGTAAGCTTCCTGTCTTCATCAGGGAACAAACCAGAATCCCTACACATCCTAAACTTTGGGATGGGCAGATGGAAATTGGAGGACTTGGCTTGGGCTACCCCAACTTGTAAAAAACACACTGCAGGGGGAGCACTAGTGTGCTCTCCTAATCTGCCTTTCTGATGCCTCTGATACACAGAATTAAATCCTTTTTCAAGTCCAAAGCCAAAAGCAGATGTGGTGACTGGTTAACAGGCTGTGCTCGTGTGTTGGGTCAGGGGCTGCTCTGAATTTCATGTTCATCTGCTAGAGATCCATCCCACTGCTGCTGCATGGGTTAGGGGGGATAACAAGGGTCTCGCTTACAGGCTTCTTTATGCTGAGCTAAGAGGGTATTTGTCATCTCCCAGGTTATTAGGCTCACAGCTCTTACTGTGAAATAGCCGCTGGGGAGGGATTCTGTCTAGCTTAGGATTGTGTTAGTGTCACACCAGTCTCTCTCTCTCTAGCTCAGTAAACTCAGTGGGCTAGTTTCTTGAGTCTCGGGAAAGCTGATTAATTCAGGAGGAAAGCACCATCTGAACAATTTATTACACTAGTACATTATTCACATATAATAGCAATTTTCATTTAGGTATTCCAGCTTTCTCATTTTCAGAAGAGCTGAAGCTCCTCATTGTTTTCTTTAGCCTTTCTTTGGAAAGGAGCACACTCTGAGTTTTTGCTGCCTTACAAAGTTACTGAGGGCAGAAGCTGACCTGTTTATTGATGAGTCTTTTCAAAAGAATGCACAAGAACAAAAAGTTGCTAAGTTACTGATCTTTGACTAGCTGAAATTATTAATTCTTGAATCTGGGACAGCAGCTTCGATGCTGCACAAATGCAGATAAGCTGCCAGGTTATGATGTTAAAGGTGGCATTTCTAAAGAAACTTAAAAAGCACCAGCAGCAAGAGATAATTTTAAGTCTGTAGGTGTGAAAGGCAGGCTCTTCCAGTCATGATCAGAGTGTGGTTACTGCTTTGAGCTTGTGCTGTGCAGCTATTTTATCAGAGAATTTCCTACAGAATAGGAGTTGTAAAAAAAGAAGGAGCTAAACACAGTCCTGCTTCTTACCTGTGGAATATGTCAAGAGATAATTCTGATCAGGGGAAATAGTGAATTACTACTGAAATTCTCCAGTCTGCTGAATGCAATGCATTGAGCAAATACTGTTCAGCACTGGCAGCTGCTTTTAAGTGAGCTTCCCTTTAGTGTCTCCAGTGCAAAATGCTTTTTTGTGGGTTCTTTAGTGGTTTGGATTTTCTTGGTTGGTTGGTGTTGGAGTTTTGGGGTTTGTTTTTATTACTGTTTTTTGGTTTTTTTGGGTTTTTTTTGTTTTTGTTTTTGTTTTTTTTTAATCCCTCTCAACTCTTGGAATTCAGAAATCCAGTTTGGGCTTATTTTTCGTGCTAAAACCATACCATTTCTGAGCTCTTCCACAGCAAGCATTTAGTTTGGTATCTCTGGTGTGCTGTCCAAGCACAGTACCCCTGGCTGCAAAAACTGTTCTGTAAATATTGGTGGTAATCAAATCTCCTCACTTAGAAACAGGAGGTGGAGCATTTGCCTGTCCTCTTTCTTAGAAAATGAATACTGCCATTAATTGCTTGGACCAAAGGGTGATCTGTTGATTGTATTCAGGCTGCAGTTGCCATGAGCACGAACCAGAAATTTTAATTTCTGTGTCTAGGATGATTCACCTGTTCAGTACTCAGAGCTGCAGGGAGCAGAAGGGATTTAAGTCACCATGGGCTCACCAGACCAAAGCACTCTGTAAATCCTAAATTCCTCTATCAAACCCTTCCATGCTAGGAGAAAAACAAATTCAAGTTATTTTAACCCTCTCACCCATTTTTGTCAATGAGTTATTTTTTTTAAGTTATAGTTTATTGACACACTGTATATTTTTAAGGAACTTGTTTTAAGACCGTTAATCTTTTGTGGTGGTAATAATGATGTTCTGATTTATGTCTTCCTCATTCTGCAGTGGAAAAGCGGGAAGCAGTATGATCTACAGGATGTAAAGCACAACCGGGGAAAAACCCTGTGCTTATGCTCTGAAAATGGCTCATTTCCATGTGGATGTTACCTGGTTTCCTATAGAAGATAAGTAGGTTTCTGGTTCCGTGAGCTGCTGGAGGTAATTAGGTTCGGATGCCTGTCTCTCTACCTTTCCAGTTGTCCCATCATCTTCCCTTTGTGCCGCTGAACTTTGTTTCCCCACCACGTGCCTGGGAATGAAGCAGGGCAGGAGCAAGGGTGGGTCTGCTCCCCCGAGGCAGTGAGGGGTGGGAGAGGGCCTTGGCCCGAGCGAGAGGAGGTGCAGGGACCACAGGAGGGAAGCCCCAGGGCTGCGTTAGTTTGGCTGCGTCGGTCTCGGACAGCGGTGTCGGACTGCGGCTGCTCCGGCTGCCCTGCACTGGGAGCGGCCCAGCACGGCGCACCAGGGCTGGAACAGGGAATGGCAGGTGCCACTTTGCGTGTCTGCTCCTTCTACTGCGCCTGGCTGCTGGGGGATGAGAACCTTGACGTGGGAATTGCATAAAACAGCCTTCCACAGCAGCAAAGACATCGCTGTTCGTCTGTCCCAGAATTAAACCCATCGCAGGGAAACATCCCAAGTGTCCGCTCCTGGCTTCTTTTAGTACCGAGCTTCATTATAGGAGTGTCTGTCTCATGTACAGCCGTTTATGCAACATTGTTTATAAAGGAAGGGCCTGTGCACTTCAGGGATACTATGAAGAAAAATACTAATATATGGTCATTGAGTATTTTGTATTGAATAGTGTATTTGTATTGTAAACAAGTGTAGTGAATCACAAGGCATGAAGACAAATAAAGTGACAGTAGCTGGATTTCTCCGTGTTGGGCTGTGCAATGATTGGATCAATGTCCGGGTGTCTCTGGGCGTCCATTTTTACTGCCAAAGTTGTGGAAGTGTTAGGGTGATGAACACCCTAAGGAGGAGATTTGATGGTACCCTGAGCCACCTTTTGGGCTCGCAGGAGCTCTTCCAGGCCTCTTTGTACTGCAGATGCTACACACCAAGTTTCTTACAGGGGAAGGTGTCCTTTCCTCTGTCACCAGGAAGGCTGGCTTTTGCCCACAGCAAACTGGCCAGAACAAAAACAGAGCAAAGGATATGGCTGAAGATTTCATTTGGGTGGTTTCCTAATTGTGTATATCTAAGACAGCCTTTGAGTCTGGACTGAGGGTAGGTCTACCTATAAGATGTATTTTAATTAATTTTCAGTATTGAAAATTACACTATTGAATCTTGTGACAATTCTAGGATGAGATAGCTTCTGCCCTGAAACACTCACTTTTTATCCCGTCCCATATCACTCCTATGGCTCAGGCAGCTCCATTCTCATTAAATGCTCCTTAAAATTAGGACTGACTTACCATATATAAACTTTCTCCTTCATGTGCTCATTCTACAGCAGGATAGTGCTCTGGTATAGTTAACAAGACTTTTCCAGTAGGCACCTCTCCGCTCCCTCATTTTCTTCCCTGTCTTAACTCAAAAAGGAGCTCTCCTATGCTCTTCCAGGAACAGGGCTGGTCAGCAGCCAGCCACCACAGCCTGGTTTGGATCTGGCACTGGCTGGAAATCTCTGCTGTAATTCCCCTTTTTTCCAGAGTTGTCAGTCTTCAGCCAGGCAGGGAAAAGGATGCAGGTGGGTACTCTTGCTATGTGGCTGTCATGGACAGTTTCAGCTTCCACCTGGTCCTTGACCAGGCTTCTGCAAACTCTGAACCAGCCATGACAGAAAAGGTGGATTTGCCACCTCTCACAGGTGACAGAGTTCACTTGTCAGAGGAACTGGGCTGTGCCTGCAGCTCTGCAGAGCCAGCCTTGGACCCGTGTGCAGCACTCTGAAGGCGCAGGATCCCTGCCCAGAAAACCATTTCTGTCACCATCTGCAGAACAGTCACTGAGTCCAGCTGAGCTGAGCTCCCCAGAAATTAATTCCCCATCCTGGGACACCTCAAGAAAATTCTCATCCCCCTGTCACGTGACCTGTGGTCTCTCCTTTCCAGCCAGTGCTCAAGAAAACGTGAAAGATTTAATTGCTAAGAGTACTGAGGGACATTATCAGGACCTGAGACATGCTGTGGAACAAGGACTGGCCTCAGAGTCTGCACAGAGAGCACTGAATTGCCGGGGACCATCTGTTTATTTATTTATAAACTACACATAATGTTTTATTTATGCAGTTTCTTGGGACTTTGAGGATCAATTGGCTTTTTTTCTAACCAGTCAGGGGCTGTGGCAGTACAGTCCTCTGCACAGCATCTAATTTCAAACTTCACTGCCACTTATTTTCAGAATTTTCTTTATGACACAGTGTCCTCCCACAAGAGTTGGAGTAAAGGATTATGGCAACTTACCTTGGCTTTAGGGAAGCATAAATCCCTTCCCCTCATCACCTTGAAGAGAGCCATCAGTAATCCTTTCTGGAATGGACTGATTTATTTCTGTTTCAGACAGCATAATTTTACAGTGCTTCTTGCTTCCTGGCAGAAGAATCTGAGCTACCAAAACACTCCATCCTGATAACAGTGAGACTAGCTCCTCTAAGCTACAGTGCTCCAGCCAATTACAGCCAGAGCTTCCAGGAGAGATGTGCTGCAGGCTGAAGCTGAAATGGAAGGCAGAGCACAACACACCAGTGTCAGATGGTATCTGTGCCCTCTCCTGCACCCACCAGGCAGCTTCAGTGAGGCCCAGACCCCACTTCCAGCTGAACTGTGTGGAGCTACAGAGCTGTGCAAGGCACAGCCCGACACCCCTGCAGGAAAAACGAGCTCCCACTGAATCATCTGTGCAAGACAGACCACACAGAAATGCTGTGACTCCCACAAGCTGCCCCAGCTTGCTGCCTCACCCACACACCTGTTCCCATACCTACCTGCTGGAGAACTCCAGCTACCCCTCAGATAAAGCAGTTCCACCATTCCATCTGGTCAGGCAGGAAAAAGAGCATTCCTGGTAATGAGTGTCTCCTCACAGAAACTCCACTGCTCGCCCAGGAGCACGGGGCTGTGACAGAAAGTGCTGTGCAAAGGCTTTGTCTGGAGCTGGCAGTTCTGTGCTGAACAGCCAGGAGAGAGAAAACCCTCTGGTTCACAGCTGGCAGTTGCACACTGAACTCCCTGCACTTAATTTGTACAGAAGAATTGAAGGAAGAAAGGTACATTCTGTAAAGATCCAATGAAAATCATTTTTGCTCTACTATTTAACAGGGTTTTATTTTATTAATATCAGCAGGAAACAGATATTAGACAAAGTAAAGTTCAGTACATCACTGAATATCTGCATCTCTAAATATAAAGCATTACTTTGTTTTTTACATTCAAAATTTACAGCTTTTATATTCAATTAAAAATTCCCATGAGTTAGAATACAATATGCATTATTTTAAATACAGATCAGGAAAAATAACTACAGCAACATTTAAAAGAACGTTACAGCAGCAGGATTCTGTCTAAAAATAGATTTGAAGTATCACTTCTTCAAGTAGGCAAGAGCAAGCAAACAATTTAAGAGTAAAATGACTGTTCTGGAACACAAACCCATCCAGTTAAGATAATGTTTACATATGCTGAGCAATTAAAACACATTGTATGTTTAAAACATGGACAAAAGATTAGCAGTTCTAAAAGACTGATACACAAATGATGTCACATAAAGGCCCATTACAGTGCTGTACCTAAAACTACCCTTAAGTCATCATAAGATCTCACAAAAATTTATACTGGAAACTGTTCCAAAGCAAACAAAAAGAAACAGTGTCACAAACTAATCAAATAATGGCAACAGCTTGCTTGAAAACCCTGTATCTGTTCCATACCATTGGCAGGAATTACCATGCTGTATTTATACAGACATAATATCTATGATAAGGGAATTATGTATTCCACTCTGCGTTTACTTGCATTTTACAACTGTGATACTCATTGCCTGCAGCACCCCAAACAAAAAAATAGTCTCTAAAAATGAGGGTAAGCTCCCCAGCAGAGTGCAAAGTGCATTATTTTAAAGAGTGCATCTTGTACATAGCTCCTTCTACAAATGCAGAACAAAAAGTGCTTGTTACTGTACAGACTGACATGCAGCATATTTGTGCTTTTTAAAGGCTTCTTATTTAATTGCTGCTCTTCACTAGGAGAGGGGCAAATCCTTGTATTTATCAGCCCTTTTGTATTATGGAGGGGAGAAGAAGTGGAGGGAGAAAGAGGAAGAGAGATCTGAACAGTAAAATGCAAAAATACTCCACAACCCTTTGGAAAAGGGTGGAGGGGTTCGGCTTTTATTTTTTTTCCCTTTCTTATTGCTAGCAGCTGGTATTGGAGTTGACAAAGTGCCCGGGAACCAGGCTACTGTCACCCATCAACCACCTCCACTGTCAAAAGCAGGCCATGCACAAACATTTCCAGTTCATTACTACATGGAGAAAAATCCTCTGAATACTGCATGAACCACACAGGAACTTCAGAGAACGCTCCAGCCACTCTGTTCTCCAACTGAAATGGTGTTCAAATAATGCAGCATCTTAAACCCAAGATGCTTTAATAACCTTCCAGGCAAGGGTCATTAAAAAGAAACTCAACAGTGGTTTTACTTCTTAACATGACTGAACATTTTATCTATCCAACTGAAATGGTGTTCAAATAATGCAGCATCTTAAACCCAAGATGCTTTAATAACCTTCCAGGCAAGGGTCATTATAAAGAAACTCAACAGTGGTTTTACTTCTTAACATGACTGAACACTTTATCTATTTTTTTTATATATATATATATATTTATATAAAATATATATATTATATACACGCACATACATACTTCTATATGTAAAACGCAAACGCAGATTTAAAGGTTCCAAAATAAGTTTGCATTCTAGGCAGGGTTTCTTTGTGCTTTAAAATACTCCTTCCCCACTCTGTGGGCTCAGCAGATATCATCCACCAGCTTGGCCCCGTTGATGCCACGGTAGGTGACCCTGCTGGGGCGCACCAGGACGCCGTGGTTCAGCCGGCAGCTGAAGTAGCGCTTCTCCCCCACAGAGCCGTCGTTCTTCCCCTTGGCACTGCGGAGCTCCAGCCCCAGCCAGATCCCTGGGGCAAAGTCTGTGGGGCCGATGTACCTGATGGTGCCCATCTCGTTGGAGCTGGTCAGGAGGACCTGGGAGCCCTCGTGCAGCTTCACGGGCCCCTCGGAGGGAGATGCCGTGCTGCTGCTCCAGCTGCGCCGCAGCACAGAGCTCTTGGATCTAGTGAGAAAGGAAGGGAACCAAAAAAAGTCTTTTTTTTGTTATAAAACATCCAGGGCCAATCTGTAATTCAAGGAAGTGCATGGGGGAAAAAACACACCCTCAAATCCCTTTTTGGAAAAACTAGGCTCGATCTCATGTAACTAACAAACCATGAAATAACAGTGACAGGCCGCTACACTCGGCAGTCTGAAGTATTGGAAAAGCAATTTCCTTCACCCGATGCTAGGATCTACAGTATTTACAGCAGATGATAGTATTGGTAAATTAAGCCATACAAAACATTTTATTTGGGGCTTAAAACAGTTTAACTGAAACAACTTTTAACATACAACTGTCAGTCAGGATCACCAGAACAACGTGAAGTCCTTTACCAAGAGCCTCTGAACTTCACCCAGCTGTGTGAAAATACAAGAATTTGGAGAATATGATTGGAAAACAACTTTAATGCCAACCTGAATTCTAGGACTGTACTCCTAGATGCCCATGGAAAACCAGTGTACTACTGGTTCATTTTGGAAGAAAAAACAGAATATGTAACGGTCTAGATATCCTGTATGCATGAAGGGGTTTTTTTGAGCAAAGCCAACAGCCAGCTCACTCAAGCACTTGAACCTTGTAACACTCACCTAACAAAGGCATTTCTTCTGTTTATCTCCTTTTGTGAAGATGCAGAAGTGCTGCTTAGACTGCGTCTAAAACCTGAGTGGAAAGATTAATAAGCTGTCTAGGACTTCTTAAGGAAAAAAACCCCACCTTTATGAACACATATTCTTTGTGGGTTTTTTTATATTGCTTCCACTACATTTTCTGCACATTCTCCCCTCTAATTTGGAAATTAAATAATGAAATTTTATCATGAACATATATGCCTATAATATGTTTGGCTTTTCAGAGGGAACAGAAATTAAATTAAACAAACCAAACAAGGGTAATTTGAAGGTCTTTTCATGAGAAGCTAAAGTATAGGAAAAGGAAACCAACTACTTCAAGTACCTCACACAAGTTTTAGTAATTTCATAGGGACATCCCCCTGCTGATCCCTTCATCAATCCCAATTTGTATTAAGGAGCAGGTTCTATTTCCCTTTCCCTCTGATGAGAATGCAATATTAGCAGTAAGGGAAGGCTGCCAACAATCATAACTGACATAAATCTTTCTGCTAGTGGAGTGTTAAGAACAATACAGTACTCCACAGTTCCTTCTGCAGGCTAGATTTTTAGGAAGGGAGCAACCAGACTACTGGCTGGCATTTGGGGTCCCTGAAAATCTCCTGTGCTTGTGGAGAAGTTGGCTTTGTGCAGATGGTCCAGGCTGCAGAGAAGGGCCTGCCTCACCCAAATCCCAATGTCTCCCACTCCTACCTGGAAAAGTGTGAGTTACTTTACTCCATGAAGTCTCTGTGAGAGAATCCAGAGAACCAGCCAGTCTGAAAAGCAGTAACACAATAAAGAGGTCATTTCAACTCAACTCTGAACAAACCTACTGGCTTCTTGTCAAATATTGATGAGGTTTTGATTCTTTCCTTCTCCATCTGCCCCCAAGAGACACCAGCATTCCTGCTGCACTCAGGCTGCTGTGCAGGAAGCGCCTGAAGAAAGTCAGAGTATTTGAGTTACTTGCCTCTCACTCATTGAGACAGCAAGTATGATCTGAGGCAAGTTCCTAAGAGTTTGCCTGAGCTGGCTTATTCAGAGATATGAAAGCAAGAACATGTCTGGCAGAGTAACTACATACAAATACAGGAGGAAAGAGTAAAGCACTCCTTGGATGTTCTTCCTGGAACCTAAGGAAGAGACCACAAGCAAGTGGTGCATGCTTTGGATCCTCTGTGCAGTTAGCTGGGATCAAAAGAGCCTTTTTTAGTCATGTCCAAGGGCAATTTCCTTTTATAATTGAATTTAGCAGAACACATCAGGACTGGGTCATTAAAGTAAGGTTTAATGAACACAGAGTATCAGAGGCCCTGGAATAAAAATACTTCAGGCAGCTGCAAGAGAAACAGGAGAGATGTGTTCCTAGTTTTACACTCTTCTTTCAAAAAGCTGATCTAAAACCACCAGATTTTTAATGGAGGTTATAAACTTACATTTGCAGAACAAAACATTTGTATATTCTGTATCTGTTCAAAAATTTGTTCCACGTTGGAAATGTATTAAGAAATCATTTGGCAACCCCAACACAAGAGCTTCAGTGCTCACCTCTGTACACGAGATGGGGGTGCAAATATGCCGTATCTGGGAAGGCAGCTGAAGTACTGCACTCCTCCCACAGAGCCATCGTTCTTCCCATGGGGCTTGTCCAGTTCAATTCCACACCAGAACCCTACATTGCACAGCAGTAAAATCAGGGCATTTTGAACAAAACACTACAGGCTTTTCTTCATCCAGACCACTGGCACAGCTGGCATTCACACACATCAAGGAAAACAGTTTCTAGTCAGAAAATGTCAAGGTACTACTAGTAAATAAGAATATTATAAAATAGCTCTCTATGCAATTATGAAAAAATATATACCCTAATAAATCTAATTATCTCATAATTTTATATGCTTTTAGTAAAATTATTTTAATTAATACAAAAAAGTTAAAACATTTGAGGTATATATATTTTTATATATGTATGTATGTATGTACACCACAAAGTAAAGTGGAATGTTACTGAGCATAACAGGCTATTGGACAAGAAGGAGACAGCAAAGAGCAGCACTGCTGTTTCACATTTCCCTCTTCATTCCTCTGAGCACATGGTTTATGCCTCATCTGAGATCATCAACAGTAAAATTTAAGTTTGGATATTAATTTGTTCTTTCTCTCTATCTAGAAAGTTATAATTAATACAAATTGCAAGGTTGGTCATATGATATCAAGAGAAGGGTGCAAAAATTGGAACTGGCCATCAATTAATCTCATACAGAACACTGAATAGGCAGCAAGATGTTAATGAGCTTGATCATTCATAACCTGTGATAGATGTGAGCTAATTACACAAAGGTGCTAAATTTCATACTCCATTAGTAGTCCTTATGCTATCCATCCCCAGAAGATTCAGAATTTAATTCAAGTCACTTGGTACTAAGGCACTGGATAAAACCATAATTCTAATTATCAGCTCAAGAAATTCAAGAATGACAGCTTATGAATTAGAAGGGCTCAGTATACCAGAAGTTCTCCCCTTCCCACTTTTAGAATTAAATAAAGATCTGCATTGCAGCAGAAGGAACAAACCTTGGATAACTTCCAGAGCTTTGATACACATTAGAACTGAAATACTTAAACGTGCATCTGTTACATTTTCTATAAATTACTGGGTTAGCAAATGGTGGTGATTTGTCATCTTTCCATCCTCACTTCTTACAATAGCATGTTTTCCTCCAAAAAATTATGTTCCTGATTCAAAGCAGAGAGGGAGGAGACTTAACATTGTCCAAGAGCTTTCTGATTTCACAGTTGTCAGTGTATGTGGGAAACAGCCCTTTTGCCCTGATCACTTTGTCAGCAACAGCACCAAGAGTGATGACATTGAAGTGTCCCTCAGGTCACTGCAGTACCTGAGCAAGGGCTACAGTGAAACTGGGAAACAGGACAGGGATGACACAAGGACAGAACCTGTACCACGACCTTGCATCCTGACGGGGTTTTTTAAATGCTGATGCCACCCAGTGTCACGACAGAGTACTGCCAATCACCCACCAGAACACAGCCCTCACCCAAAGCAGGTGCTCACAGCAACACCAATGCTTCTGCATACTCTTGCAGTAACATTATAGATAGGGCCATAAAGAAGATAGTATTAGATTAAAAATTAATTTCCACAATGCAGAACAACTGGCTGCCTTTGACAGCACTTGGCTTCACTGCAAAGTGTTTTTTAGCTAGGGAAAGGGAGAAGCTGAAAGGGAGAAGGATGAGAAAACGGTGGTGGAGGTTGGGCCTTTTTCAGATATTTGTAACTTTATTGAGCTTGTGACCTAAAGGTTTGTCAGTTAAAATTTTAATGTTCACAATTGCCCTCTTAAAGATGGCAGTAAGTTAAGAAATGAGACTGGTACATGGCATAAGAGTGCCACTATTGCAAGAGACAAGCTGTGTCCAAAAGCCTTAATACAAAAAGTAAGGAGTAAATGAATGTGATCTCTATATACCCCTTCGGAGACTAAACTGAGGATTTTCAGGAAGCTTTGTTAAGAAGTTGGACTCTATGATCCTTGTGGGTCCCTTCCAACCCAGAATATTCTGTGATTCTGTAATACCTACAACTTCACCATCAAGGTATCTCTCCTACATAAGTCAAGATAGTGGACAAATAAAAGTCCCATTTTAAACCATTATTTTTTCCTGACAGTTGCATTAAAATAAAAAATATTCAGTGAAACATAAGAGGGAGGGGAGGAGAGAGAGACAGAAAGACAGAACTTGGAAACAAACCAATTTAAATTTAGAATTCTTTTGGAAGGAATGAGGGAAAAGATGGATTTCCATTCATGTGCTCCCATGCAAGCTATTCCATACTGATTTGACAACAGACTCAGAGCACTGCACATACCTGGTGCAAATTTTGTTGTCCCACAAAATCTAACAGTGCCTGTTCTCTGTCCCACCACCAGTACTCTGTCTCCAACCTGGATTTCTCCATCAAGAGCATTTTTCCTCGTGGTTGGGGAACTATACAGCCCTGGTCAAGAGAAGAACAAGATCTGAAATTAGCGAGATTAAATCTTTAAGGAAGTTTTCAATAGCAAGCCAACTGTTTAATGAACAGTTATTTATCTCTAACACAGTGTATCTTCCACACATGGCAACACAAATTTTGCTTAGACAAAAACTTGCTTTGTGCAGCACAAAAACTGGACTACAGCTTTTTCTCTGCTCTGAAAAGGTACAGTGACCAACTATAAAAACACTTTGCATCTTGAAGACGTTACAAAAATCCTTCTAAAAGTTGCCAAACTTAGGTTTATGGTAAACTACTTCACAAGTGTCTTTCTCGAACTGAAAGAACACAAGTAGTTCTACACAAGTACTTAATGCAGCAGTGAACTCCCCCCTGTGAAAATACACCTCAACACCACACAGAGACCATACCAGCACTGATCTTAGATGAGGCAGAAGACACTCTGGTCAGGGCCTTTTTACTGCTGCTCATTGAGTTCCTCTTCTTGGAGTAATTCCGTTTGCCTTCCAAGGAGGCAGTAGAAGAGGAAGAGCTGCTGTACCCAGGAAAACCTAGACATAAATGAAAGTTGTCCTTCAGGGATTGTAATTTGGAAAAGGACAGATTAAGCAGAAAGGAAAGCTTTTGTAATATGGAAGTTATCTGCTCTCCAGGGACCACAGAATACAAAGCAAAGAGCCAAAGTTAGAACTTGTTATGCAGCGTTTGCACAAACACCTGTCAGGAATGACACGGGTGCACATGACCCTGCCTTGGGAATATGGTGATAGCTGAGTGCTAGAAGAGGTCTCCAAAAGCCCATCTTTATTATCCTATGAAAGTTCATCTAAATAGTCCCAAGCATATTTATTAAAATACATGAGCTTTAGTAATAAGAGATCATACCACCAGCCTTTCAGCATCCAGCCTACTAAAGATTTGATGAGAAATGGAAGGAAGGTGATATTATGTGAGTGAATTATTGCCTGGATTAAAGCCTACTATATTCCATTACATACTGTATTAATATTAAAATCTGTACTATAAAACAAGAATGGGAAATAAATCACTTTTATTTCCATTTGCAAACCATGAAGTCTAAACTGTCCAATAAGACTTATGTTCATCTTTCCTGCTCCTTTTCAAGGCTCTTCCTCTTCTCCCCTTTCTTAACCCCTTCTGTGCAAAATGAGGCAGGGTACAGCAAGACACATCTATGCCTCAGCTTGTCAATGTGAAAAATTAAGATAATATTGCTTATCAAACTTCCCAGACTTTTGAGAAGCTGAATCCATTAGTTTTGGCAAACAGCTTGGTATCGATGCAGGGTTTGTTTGTTCAATGTAATTTAATTCTCCAATTTTGCAAAACAGTAAGGAAGAACTGAGGAAAGGCAAAGGCAGAGGGTCCAAACAAAAGCTGAGGACAGAAATCTGAAGACTCTGAGATACTCACTGCAGTTGGGCTACAATAAAGAAAATACAGATTGCTGACTAAACAGTGACTAGACAGGGAAGCTTCAGCTCCATGTCCGAGGTATAAACACACATGCACATTTGCAAACACAAGCTACATGTACTTAGTTCAAAGCCAGTCCAGAGATGGATTCACTGAAGGTCACACCATCATTTTTACAGGGATGCAACAAGAACTGCTCCCACTAAACCTGTCATCAAGATACTTCATTTTGTGGGAAATCACAGCGTGGGAGAAGGGAGAGCAGAAAGGACTTCAGCAAGCCATATAATTGATTCCTTTTCCTTCAGGCAAAACAATTATTTGTTACAACACTCCTGACAGGTGAGTATTTGGCCTGTTCTTAAAAACATCCTGTCAGGGAAATCTCAAGACTTCCTCAGCAGTGTATCTCACCACATAATTATCCCTAGTGTTCCTAATATAAAACCTCAATCACCACCAGTTTAGATCAAGGTTTTTTACTCCCACTACAGATGCAGAGTGGGTTATACCATCCCTTGTATTGCAAAAGTTCCAGTTTTACACGTTTCAGCTTCTGTCTTTTTATTCACACAATCACAAATTTCAAGTCTTTACTCTTAAGTCATGTTTTATAAATCCAGTTGTTGCTGTCTTTTCTGAATCTACAACTGTTCACTCACAGAAGGTACAAAAAGATGCTTTCCTCACAGACCTGCTGGAGGCAAGTCCAAAGGAGGCCATGAAGATGTTTAGAGGGATGGAGCACCTCTTCTGTGTGGAAAGGCTGAGAGGGCTGGGGTTGGTCAGCCCCAGAGAAATCTCATTGTGGCCTTTCAGTGCCTGAGGGGGACCTCCAAGAAAGATGGACAGACTGTTCAAGAGTGGAAGCAGTAACAGGACAAGGGCTAGAGGCTTCAGAGCGACAGAACGGAGGCTTAGATCAGATATTAGGAAGAAATTCTTTCCTGTGAGGGTGGGAGACACTGAACAGGTCACCCAGAGAAGCTGGGTGAGGATATTTAGTGACCCTTGATGATTTTTAAGGTCCCTTCCAAGTCAAACTATTCTGTGATTCTGTGCCTTAAAGAAGGAATATTCAAATTCACACTTCAAATTATTCCAAAGAAACACTGCTTTTACCAACACTTACAGTATGATTTTATAGACAAAGCCTCGAAGGAGACACAACTTTTAGGGTTTGTTCAAGACAGCTGAAAAGTGAGGTCCCTTTGTGTTTCAAGTTCAGCAAGTACTGCTGTGGTAGAAGCTGTTATCCAATTGTGAAACTAGGTAATTGCAGAGAATGATTCACATCACATGCAAAAGGCACTCATTAAAAGTTAATTTCATTTTTCATATCTGAAGCCTGTTCTTGTGAGTCTGCCATGACACAACACCAAGACTGTTAAGCACTGTTAGATGGCAACACTTTATTACAGAAGCATGAACATACAGATAGAGGAGAGGAAAAAAGCCAACAGAATATTAAAATCTAGGCAGCAACAATACAGGGTAAAAGGTCTCCCTCAAAAATCTCAGCTGGTAATTCTGCAGCTCCTCTGCAAGATCACTTATTAAGAGCCAGCTTTAAGGGCTTTTCTATGTTCCTGCCCAAGTACTCAGACAGAAGTGGTTACCAAACCAACACAGAAAGCCAGCCAAACATCCACACAAATTACTTTGCTCCTAGAAAACCAAATACCTACAGCCTGCTTGAGACTTGAATTAAACAAGCATGGCAACTTTTTTTCTACAGTGTAGATACAGGCCTTTTACAGAGCTAGGATAGCAATAATACTGCTTCTACCATACAAAGAATTTTTCTTAAGATGTTAAAAAAATTTTTAAATTATTTCATTACCATCTTTTGCAGGTACTGTTTTTCCCCTGTTAGCAGCCAGAAAGTTGTTTTCAGAAGCACTGTCTCTTTTTGCAATATTAAGGCCTATAAAAAGAATATAAACAATTAAATATACACATCCTAACAACAAGTAACAACAATTTTACACATACAAAAACGATTTTTGCAGATTATGCAGATTTTCAGATTACTGGATGCAGGGAAAAATTGATAAAACTGTACAATTCCTTAGACACTTGATAAATGGGTAAAATGAGAACTGCAGAATTGTTTTGATGGACAAGCACAGATATTAAACCCCTTAACACATTAAACCAGTCCAAACTATCTTGCCAAACAATAAATAAATGGTTTATAAATTGAAGGAGTTTTACTTGAAGGAGTTTTATTTAAGTATTTCAAACACTCATATCTATAACATTCACTGGAATAGACTTAAGGTCTGCTATTCGCCAGCATTAATTTCATAATTTCTGCTTCAAAGATTACACATCAAGGTTCTGAGAGAGATTTGAGATCAAATCTTCATTCAGACTACAAATAATGTAAGCATGCCAATATGATTTTGAAGAGCCTAACTGTCAGAGTAGCAATGTTGTGATATGTGTAGGAACTCATACTCTCAAATAAAATTATAATTTGCAAACAGTCATTTTGCATTTCTGACACTTTCCTACCCTACCTCAATGAAGAACAAGCTTATCTATGATTTATCCCCTCCCTGTAATGAAAGAAAAATCACATCTCTTATTTAACTACATCTCTCAGCTCAATTCAGTCACAGGGACTGAACTAGTTTGTGAATGTAGAGTATTTCGAAAACTTTTATGGCCATTAAGGCATCAGATCCAAAAACTAGTTGTTTGTGACTGATAACACATTTCTTAATTTTATCTCAGTAATCCTTTTCCTAGAAACTTGAAAAAGATCTTTTCTCATCAATCTGATGGATTACTCAAATCCAGTAGAACGAAATAAAATTTCAAAACCCCTATACAATATTATAAGTATATTTTACTTTGCAGCTTATAACCTTACCTACAAAAAACATATTAATTTTTCTTGAATCATTATAAAACAATGTATTCAAGAGAGGAAGTTTAAAGGAAAGAAATGTGACCTGGTGATGCACATAAGCACTGCAAACCCAAGTTCTGCTTCTGCAGCTTCATCCTTGCCCCACTCCTGCCAGCCAATCATCCAGGCATGTTAATTGCAATGGAATTCTGTGCAAGAACTCCCTGCACACAGCAGCTTCCAGACACTCACATCCAATGGATGTAATCTCTCCTGGGTAGATGATGCTTAACTCACTCTGATTTCTACCTTAAAGCAAGGTATCAAATGTTTAAATTTTACAAAGACACAACTGCACCTTTGGGACAGAAAAGGTGGGTTATGACTGAAGCAGGTCAGTGACAAAGGACAAGTCCCTCCCGTTATAGTTTAATGGGTTACAAACACAGCAAAGTGAATCAAAGACTAAAAAATATTTAACAGAAGAAGTCAGCTTGGATCTGCTCCTGAGCAATACTCCTAACAAGCTGCTCATCCCAAGAAGCTTTTTATGCAAGATGCCCATTTATAAATAGCTTGAATCTTGTGCCAATTGTATATACAGACACTTACAGAAACTTACTCCCCACCCAATCTATGCAGACAAAATTTACATAAATCATCCATAAAGCTGTCAAAATGCATCTTTTCCTGGCACCAGCCTGCTCCATTGTTTCTATACCCTGCAGATTACAGGTAAAGCGTGCAGGGTTTTAGGGTGCTTGGGTAAATTCGATGGGAATGTGAGTTATCTTCCATCCCTTAAGCTGTGCTGCCTTAGTGTGAGTCACCTGAACAGGGCTCAAAAGGCAGAAGAAATGCCAATGAAATATTTACTGACATTATTACATAGGCAGCCAAACACGGGGGGCCAGATTATGCATGGCCAGCACTGCACACAGCAGGGAAGAGTCTGTTCTCCAAACAACCTGAACAGTCACCAGTCAGAAAACATGGATCATTCACTCCACAGGGAGGGAACTTACAGAGAAGGATTAAGTAATTTGAGCAAATTACTAAGAAAGTAAACCAGAGCCAGAGACTGAGCCCGTAACTCCAATCAGTAGACTGAGGCCTTATTACAAGGATAACCTCTCTCTTCTAATTTGGTACTGGTTTTACTCAGATAATTTAATTAGCAGATAAAATACAATGAGTTAAATAGTTTCTTTATCATGTTGCCAGAAAATAAATCTCTTCAATTTCTAGGCATAAAGGCGTGTAGACTACTTACTAGATTTTCATTCCTTGCAAGTTCTCCAGGAATATCTTAGCAAATAGAATCTCATTAAGTTGAGACACTTAACTGGTATCACAGCCAATTAGAAATTACTTTAATGGCTCAAGAATAAATGTTGTGGTGAGAAGTTTTCTATATAGAGTAGATAAAGAGTAAAAACTGTCACAGCACATGAGATCACTGCAATCACTGCTCCACACAATGTCCTTCCAGTACCACTCCACAGGCCAGTGAACTTCCACCCCGGACAACATGGAGTTAATGAATACCTTATCACCTCATCCCAGGCCAAGAACTAACTCCAAACAAGACTTTTAATACCAAGACTTACTAATTCTTGAAGATTAGTATCTCTCCATCCTGTGTGAATGTGCAAGAAAACACTCACCAGAATTCACTTTGGAAGTTATGTGTGTCACATCTACTTTCTTGGATTTGACCACAGGTGAAGACTTCATGGAAGAGCTTCGGACGGAGCTTTTCTTGTGATCAGAAGCCTTGCTTATTTTGGAAAGGGGTGCAAAGATACCTGGAGAGAAAATTGTATGTGCCAACAAAGAACCATGGTTAATGGTAAAGAAATGAAACTTCAGCTACTTTCTCGCACACCAATTAATTCAGGGGTTTTTTTAGCCACCATCACAACTTGCTATGCCGACAAAGCACTTGCAGAGTAGGAAGGACAAGCTCAAGAGAACAGTGAAAACAAAATTCTTATGAAGCAACTTGAACAGAGTAAGCTGGAAACACTCAGACTATCAATTAGAATCTCCTTTTTTTCCTAACAGTAACATTCAGTCTCCACTGCTACAAAACACAACACCTTTGTATGCCCTGTGTGGCCACGGCACCTCAATTAAAATACCTCAAGCTCAGTGTTAGAAAACAGCTACGAGCAGGAATGTCTGACCAAGGAAGACAAAGCAGGTAAAGAAACATGGCTATTATTGTTACAGTACAAACTAGTAGTTTCAACAGTATCAATGAAAAAACAGGAAATCTCACAGTTTCAAGAAAATAACCAGAAATTTTGACTGGTTGGTTGTTTCAGTTGTTTTGCAAATAGTTGCAGCCAAAACTTTAGGACCAGCTGAAGAACCAATAAATCAAACAAAGCACTACAAAGCAAAGCAACAGAATCTGCTACCTGTTTTTATCCTCCCAAACAGCTCATACCTTCCAGTAGTGCTCTTTACAATTTGGGGGTTTAAAAACTTAAGAAAAAATAAATTAAAGGCTATACCACGTTTTGGTGCACACTTGAAGTACTGGACTTTTCCAACACTTCCGTTGTTCTTCCCTTCTGGTTCATCCAGCTCTACACCAGCCCACTGGCCACTGGCAAATTCTGTTGTGCCACAAAATCTTAAGGTACCAACCTAAGAGAAAAAGCATCAGCACAGAATGGGTTTGTTAAACAAGTATTGTTCATGAGAAAATAGTATCGGTTATGAAAGAGACAGCAAGTCATCTCCAAAATGCAAAACAAGTCATCACAAAAATGCAAACATCATTTCCCTCCCTTATTCACGTTCCTACCTTTCAACACCGTTCAATACATTTTCCAAAAGGTCTCAGTCCTTCTGTGTATATTTTGCATTAAACAGGAGCCATGGTTATGGACAGATGCCACAACAGACAAGAATTGGACAGTAAAAACCACTGTAAACACAGCTCTAGGTCAGCAAGGTACGGGAGCACATACCCAGTGAGAGGTTTTACTTTCACTGTTTACACAAGAACAATTCCAGAATCAGGGCTAGGTATCTTCTTGAACTGGAGGTTCCAAAGAAATATTAGATTAGACAAATCTGTATTAGGAAATACACATATACAAGTGTGTGTATATATATACATATATATAGCAAAGGTTCAAGGGTAAACTTCAGAGCGTAATTAATTTTTTCTTTGAAAAATATTCATAAGTCTTCTATTCCCTCCTTATGATTAAACAAAATTTTAAAAGCCAGCAAATGTTTACAACATTTAAAATGTTTTAAACATTTTCTGTTGCTTCAATAAATACTATAAACTCTGAACAGATAAGCATATGAAGAATATCAAGACAGACCAGTCTTGCTGGTAGACCTCATTCTCCACAAATATACATTATAAACTCACACACTTCAATCCAACAGGGGAGGAATAACTACAAAAGATGCATCTAACATTGATTTAAATTCATTTTTATATTTGATTTTTAAATTAGTTTTAGTAAGAAAAAACTTTGATCTTTCAGTTGCTCAGTTTTCCTCATCTCATGTGACCTTAATGTTAGCTCATTTTACACTATGACTCCACTGTTTAATCCAAGCCTCAGAGAGTAAACAGATAGAAACAATTTTATTTTTTTTTTAATATAAAACCTTCCAGCTACTCTTTCCTGATGTCTGTAAAAGAATAAACATGACCCAGAGCCTCTTCTCTTATGCTGAAGATCTCTTTAAACTTGATTGTTATAGGCAGGTATGTCACTCTAATCTAGACCGAGATCTTTTAGCCATTGACACAGGGATCAGCCAGAGGAAGTTCAGCCAAGCAGCCCCACAGATTCCTACAATTCCTCCACTTACTTTCCAGGCACCAAGAGCCAAAGAGCATTTACTGAGCAGAGAGGAGAACAGCGGGTATCTTAAACCAGAGATGGGAGATGGCAAAACTGCAGCTCCAATTCTGCCCAAGGACCTGTGCAAGCAAGGAGCAGGGGATTTCTCTCGCCTGAGACACAGCAGGAGCAGTTTTCTCCCAGCTGCTGGTCTCCCTGCACTGCCATTTCATCAGATGTGATCCAAATGGACACTCAATCTAGCAGAGCAGGAGCTGGTGGAGCTGTGGGGCCCCAAATCACGTACACATGAACACCTGCTTACACAGCTTCCTACCCTGCATGACAACCGGAACGACAGGCGCAGTAGGAGTCAGGAGAGGAATCCATTCTCCCTCTGGCATCTACTGTGCTTGGCTTTCAAGCTTCATTAAAGCTGACATATCAGGAGACTGCAGAAGCAGGAAAGACAACAGGAACCCGTAAACACAGCTCCAAAAAATGCTGCTGTTCCAAGTACCCTCATCCCAGCTTCCATATTCCAGAATGAGAACTGATCCAGGAGAAGGTTAAATACAGGGCACCATTTTACTCATCCTGTTTTCACTTTTGCTCCACCCTACAGAAATTTAGCAGTATCGAGGGGGAGGGGAAGGGAAAGGCAGGGCTGACAACAACTTCTCCATTCAGGCAAATGGAGAAAAAGGGTGGGAAGCAACGTGGGAGTACTGCACAACAGCTCCTTGCTCACAAAGGAAGGAAGGGAGGAAAGCTGCTGTGGAAATGGAAGTTCAAAAAGAACAATCACATTCCTTCTTCCCACCTGCTCTAGAACAGATTTGGCTTCCTTAAAGAAAAACAAGCTAGCTGCAAAGCCCTGCTGGCCTTTGGCAGCACAAAAACAGCTTCCAACAACTTCTATAAAAACACTGCATAATCAATTAGAAGACTAAAAGTAACCAAACCCAGGCAGCTCTACCCATGCACAGTGAGCACATTACAGCACAAACTGTTCTGTGGGCCTTACTTAGAGGAAAGATACACAAGAGCACCAATTTCATCACTTTCTTGCTCTAAAGCCTCCATTAACTCACACTTCATTATCTCCTCTTCCTGCCACTGTGATTTCTGATAAAGAAACTTCTGTCTTTAAAGAAGTGACTTTCTGTACATACTTCAGTTAAAATGCCTTCTGCACAGCTAGTGATTCCTTTGCTTTCCCTGACCCAATTTCAAGAATACACCAAATTAAAATACACAATGGGAGCTGCTTCACACTCTTGATGGAGATCGCTTTAGAATCTTTCAGTTGTGACAGTTACAAATCTGAAGTTATATTAGGAAAGCTATTAAAGCAAACGCTATTCAAATATAAAATTTTGCTCACAAATGCTTTCAGCATTTACCAGGAAAAAAGTACTTCTCTAAAAGAGTTCTAGCACTTAGATGCCTTGCTATCAGAGCAAATAAAACGTCTGAATACTGAATGCAATATTAATGCTACAGTTTTAAAATATGTTTTTAGAAAGATGGCTTTCGTGGTAGCTTCTAAAGAGCTATTCACATTTGAGCTGAACCTCTATTAGCTACATCCTTATACTTCCACAGAACCATGTAACAACCCTGTTGGCACAGCACTTCAAAGACTTTAGCTGCATTGCACCAGTAAAACTGGGTTACTATAGGCTAAGCAGAACTGAAGGGTTTTTTCCCTGCCTTCTGCAAACTATCAGGAGTACTTCATGAATGCACGCTCCTAACAAAGCTGGGCAACTCAGAGAGTAATTTGGGAATTTTACCATCACTTTGATATGACACCAAAAACATTAATAAAAGCTGAGCCATGCTGATGTACTATAGGAGACTGTTAAAAATCATTTAAAGACACAAAATGCAGCCTATGCCTGTCAAAATTGCTTTTCATAATAATGACTTTATCACACAACTCTTCAGCTTATTCCTTTCCCTAACCAGTTCCTTGCTGCCATTCCGAGATCACACCTTCCAGAAAGCATTTCAGACCCTCAAATGTCTCCAAAGTGGTAAAGAAATGGACTCTCCAGGAATTATGAGAGTAGTGCCAGGCTGGTGGCCATACCTTCTGTCCTGCAATAACAACACGATCTCCCAGCTTCAGGCCAAGTGACAGAAGCATGGCCCTGCCTGTGACGTGGTCGTAGGTTGGAATCATGGCTTTGGAGATGTCACATGCGAGAGGCACTGCATCCAGCAGGATCTGCTTGATTTCCTTTGCACTGGCTGCTGCATCTGCCATTTCCAGGGGCATATCTACTGGATCAGGAACTACATCTGCTGGAATCTGCCCTTTGTCATTCTGTAGAAACATAACATAGCACAGCATTTAAAGTTGTTACAAGATAAATCTGATAGATGAAACTACAGCGTTTTACAGTGTTTAATCCTCTTTATTAGATATTTTTCCTAAAATATAAGCAACTATGAAAAAAATGCACATTTTCAAATAAGGATGCCAAAACATCCTCAGACAGATCAACTAGCATGTACAGCATCTTATTCTTGAAACTGACATGTAACTAACATTTTCAAATTTAAAAACGTTATCCGGACTCAGAACCAGAACACTTGAAGCGAGACACTTGTGTGTTCAGGTACCTCTGTGTACCTGAACACAGAGTTAGGAAAGCAGGGCAGACTTCTTGTCTGAAATGCCAATACCAAAATGCCAACTTCTCCCAAAGAATCTATCTTTACCCAGCATATAGCTCACTCCCTGGTAAGGCTTATTCCAAGTGTAAGGAGGAATTTAAAAGTATGTTGCATGTATAGAATATGCACATGTGATGGCTCACATGAGTACCTGAATAAACCTGTTCAGGTTTATCTAGACACAGGCTATCTATGAGAGATGGGTTAAGGACAGAGTCCTTTCCAAACACATCCCAGACTCAGAGAGCTGTGACTGTGATTCCCTGCATGTCCTACACGACAGGATGAGTTGTTGGAGCAGCAGCTCCCCGGGAACTAATCTCAACTCCAGGCCAGCTGCCCAGGCAGCAGGTACTGTCAGGCTGCTCCAGAGACAGTTCTACCTACACTCTTTAGCAAAGCCATTGGTATGGAGCTTTGGCTGTCTGCCCATTTTCACAATGTTTGTAGCAAAATAATCATCTCAGTCTTCCACATTTGTCTCAACTGAGCCCCTAGCCTCAGACATTTCCAGAAGGAATGATGCAGAGTAAGACTATTTGTTTTGGTTCCTTCAAAACAGACTAGAAGTTCAATGTTTCCTGAGACCCCTCTCAATACATCTCAAAGCTAGGAAAGTATAATCCTTACTCAGAATTTACACTGCTGTTCCCAAATAATCTAACTCCACACACTGTCTCCAGTCAAAAGTTTATTGCAGGTTTGAGCAATTCAACACCCACCATTCCTTAAACATCTCCAATCACTTTAAGTAAAAATCACACTACCTTAAAAACAGGAAATAGCTGGGTTAAAGTTGGGTGGAGAGTTTGAGTTTGTAGTCATGACATTAGAGATTATTTTGGTCACATCAGTCCCACAGCTCAGCCCACCAGGTGCCCTGCAAACCTCTGTGCCAACACACAGCAGGGGCAGAGCAGTAGCAAGAAGGTGAAATAGAAACTCAGGGGAAGCTCAGGAATTCCCTTCTCAAGGGCACAGCCACCTCTGCCAGCTCAAAAAGCTTGTGCAACTACAAAGCAGTGCTGCCTGTGACAACAGACTCCTAAACAAAACAGCTGCCAGAGAACTTGAGACACATTCATGCACACTGAACAGAGACAAAAAGAAACCCACCATTTTTCAAGAGATCTAGACTGAATATCATGAAGAACTGTATGGACAATAATGTTCCAGAAGATTTCACAGCAACAGTGCTACATGAAATAATGACTTTTGAGTACCCTTATAACAACTACGATTTCTCATTTAAAATAACCCCCCTGCATTTGAAAACAGAGAACTGAGACACTGGTTTTTCTAAAATAAATAAAACTTTCCAAGCCCTTCCCCCCAAAAACACACCAAAAAAAAAAAAAACAAAAAAAACAAAAAACAAAACAAAACAAAAAAAAAAACACTAAACACCCAAATCAAACACAAAACTCAATCAAAACCCAAGATTGTGGCCAGACACATATTAGCAACACTTTGCACTATAACCTATGCCTATTATTAGGTTACTAAGGAGAGCAGCTGATGTTTATGCATTCTCAGTTACTCATGCTGACACTGGGCTCACTGCTAAGCACAACACTGCATTTCTGGAGGGCAAAGATTGCACTCCTCCATTTCTGAAAAGATGCCCCACTGCCGCGGGGACTCAGCTCATGCAAGACACCCATGAGTATTAATAAATGAAAGCTCAAACAACAAACAGAAAAACCTCTTGAAAGTTATTTGAATGAATGAACTAGACCATGACACAAAAATACAAACTTCAACACACAAGTAGGACAAAGCATACAAAATCATCCACTATGAGTTGCAAATATCTTTTCCTGAGGCACTCTCACCCCATGTAACACACTTCTAACTAGTCAAAATCCTGGACAGACTGTTCAGTTTTTCCAGGTACCTTTTTCAGCTTCTGGTGAATCTACAACCTAACTCCTTACCCTAAAGGCAGGATTTGCTCCATGTTCCAGTAAACACTTGACAGCTCCTGTGCATAGGTTAAATGCAGCAATATGCAAAGCTGTTCCAAAATCAAAATCACTACAGGTGGCATCCACATCTGCAATTAAACATCACATGTGAGGTATGCAAGTTTGTTACATGAACATTTCCCCCTACAGATTCCTTGAGAGGATATTCATTTTTACAGTTTATGTTAGCATTTACACAGACACACCATTATTTATGTACCAAATACATATAAGAAGTAATTCTACACAGAGTATCAACCTTATTTGCATCTGTTTATTCATACCACGAACCAAGCTGGAAGATGAGCATGTACTTTCACTCATTTTTTAATACTGATGCCTTAACTGCAAAATTGCTGCTACTCAGGGTGCCCAATCTACTGTGCCAAGATTAACAAGTGAGTAACTTCAGGTTTGCAAGAAATTAATTTTTTAATGTTTCAGAAACATTTATATTTTATTGCTTCTAAGTGTCAAACATCAAAATGAGATGCATCTTCAACCAATTGTCTTCCTTTGTGAGCAGGTAGTAGGGCAAAGGAAAACTGATTATACATCTGCTTTACACTGATTTAATTACTAATGGCCAAGAATAAAGTAAGAGCTGGTGATTGTTATAATTTCTTTGTTTTCAAAGAATTGCACTCTGAAGGGTCTCACACTGATAGTCTGGAAAATGGAGAACTGCATCTGACTGGAAGTGATTTAGCACAATATATATTTCTATCAGTTGTTCCCAATACATCTTTCAATCTGGTATGAAGTTATTACTGTTCTAGAAGATTGGAGTTTAAATGTCTGTTTAATCTGAGGCTCCTCTCTTAAATTACACAAGAGAGATGTCATTTTGAGTCAGTTAGGTATAGGACTGTTAATTAAAAATGCCAGCTGATTTAATACACAAGCCAAAAGACCACAAGTATTAGCAATCATGTTCCAATTTGAAATACCAGTGAGGAACATAAAACTTTCCACCTCAGGGCTGAAGAACCTCCTCATATTTTCCAGTACCAGTCTCCATCCCAGAAAACACTAGCCCTTCTCACAATGCCATAAACAAAGTATATCCCAACTGCATCAACATCCTTTTATAGCTACATTAAATAAACAAGTAAAACATCAACAATATAGAAAATAACAGTTATATATGTCTGTATAGGCATGTTAAGTTCATACATACTAATAAAACTGATTCTATTTTATAAAGATCAAAGGTAACAAATTTGCAATCAGAATTTAACAGTTTTGCAATCACTCTGACTGAACACAAACATGAAAAAAGACTGCATTCACATGCCTCAGTCATGATGAGAGCTGCACATGCAGATGTACGCTTTATGTACCAAAGGTCAGAAGACATCACCAGTTTAAAACCAGCTAGAAGCTGAGGAGCAGTATACAGCCATTGAAACTACCATGGAATACAGCCAAACATTTTCTGCACACATAGGAACCAGTTTGCAAAAATACTGGTCAGTAGCATCAGCTACTGAGCCAGTGACAGCTGCACGTACTCCTGTTTTGAAAAACAACTGATGTTTGGTTTGGTTTTTGGAGTTAGACTGTGTGACTTCCTCAGACCTGCAAGCTTTATGCTTAGATGTTCTGAACAGTTCTCTTACAGCTTCAATCTAAGTGGGCATTGTAGAGGTGACAGAAAGAAAAACAAGTACCAAATGTTACCTGGTAACTACCCCCAAACTATCTAGAGGAAATTAATATATAATTTTTGTATTTAAAACCTCTAAAAATCCAAGACCAAACTAGCGCTCTCCTGTAGCAACCAAGGAGTAGATCTGCATGAAGACTTTAACTACACAGTGTCATAAAGAAAGCAGTTTAGCAGTAAATCAAAAGGAAACACCTGTGCTTCACAATGGGTGTCTCAGAGTCAGCACACCACTGTCCTGAGAAGTTCTTTTTATATAACAACCATTTTTTCTCTAGTTCAGTATGGATCCATCCAAAGCACGCTCACCTTCTACGTATGTTCTTCCTTCTCTACAAACTGCCTGATGAAGTATGGAGCTAAAATTATTCTATTAATTCAGACTATCCATTGTTCCCATGCCACAGGGCAAATAATTTTACATATTTCCTGAGATTAAAAATATCAGCTGCTTATCCAAGAATTGCCAACTGCCCAGTAACCAGAGTGGTTTCCTTGGAAATCTGAGCAAAGTCCCGCCCCTTCTGTAGGAACCATACAAGAGGAGAACACCAAATGCAAATAAGGTCTGAAAGGAGACCTGAACTGCTGATGCAAGTTATGGAGGCCAGGCTATTGAAATGTGATGTGGACTTAACCAGTGTGCAGTCTGATTTTGTCTTTTGTTACCCACCCACACATGTCACCTCCTAAGCAAGTCACACCAGTAAGAGCACTGCTTAGCAATTACCTCCATGGAGACTCAAGATGTAGCAAGCAAGCCCTGGATACTCCAAAAGCCTACCAGCTTTTCAAACTGCTAAGACAGAGTCCCTAGATAAAAATCCTTTATCTAGCACAATCAGAAGGATATTTAGCAGAACAAATTCACATTTATACAATTTTAGCGATAAAGTTGCTTACTGGTTTTGCTGTCCTGACCAAATTAGAAACAAACAGTTCTGATCAGAACCATTTCTGTATTTTCATGTGCATTAGTACAAACAGGGCTCCAACTACCAATCCTTCACAGTATCATGCCAAACGGTGTTCTCTATTTATGTCAAACACTAAAGTCAAATTGTTCCTTAAACAGGACCTTCTGCCTAGCTGAAAAATGGGAAAAATGAGCAGGTCAAAATTGCCTCCGTCACAGGTTTGCCACATGCAATTGCCAAATCCCCACTACTCCTTTAACTTTCTCCCCACATGTCAAACATACTTCTCAATGTTTAAGGAACCTTAAAAACCACAAGATTTTCCTACAATAGTTGTATCTTTGGTTTTCTGCAAACATTCTCTTAGTTCTCAATAACTTAAGATTAACCTGTTTGTTTTCCAGTCTATCTGAAACTTCTATTGTCTTGTACAAAGCTCAAGTTTAAAAACCAGCATTGGAAACAGTACAGTAAAACACTAAAAATTAGTTTAAGAGGAAAATGAACCAACGAGGCTGAATAAAAGAATAAGAAATTATTTATGTATAATGGATAAATGGACACCAGACTTACAGTCCACAATGTATCAGCATAGGATCTACAAAATATGGACAACTACACGGAACAAAAGTCACAATGCCTACCTTTTGGCTTTGCATTTTTCAAAATAACACTGATCAGTTCTGGAACATCAAAGTAGGCAGCATAGTGCAAGGCATTCATATTTGTCCAGCGGCTGCGCAAGCTGCTGTCAGCACCCAAATCAATAAGCTGTGTTGCAAATTTTACAGCAGTTTCGACATCACCTGCAGGGTAATTTTTGTGAAGTATGCATCAGTGATTTATTTATTTGACCTCAAAAAACACATAGATGTTTATGTGTAAAACAAAACATACATTAAGCCCTTCAAGCTCACAGCAGAACTATTACTCTGCCCTTTTTTTTTTGGATTAGGACACAGAAGTTTTTGCCCTTTATCATAAAGAGCTGAAATCTCTAGTGTATGATAACACTGTCTGTTTTTCACTAATGTAAGCATTGTGTCAGCCATCAAACCCAGGAGTTTTAGGATCCGATAGGAGAAAAATAATTGAACATCACAGTGCTGAAGTTAATGTTAAAAGATCTGCTGACACCGGGGAAGATGACCTGTGCCAGACTTCTCTCAAACTCAGAGGAGAAGTGGGCTCAGGTCAACAAAAAAGGATCAAAACACATAAAAGTTAATAGGGGTGTTCAAACAGAGTTAAATGTGCATTCATTTCCAGTATTTATGACCACAGTAATGCAAATAAAGTTTATTGTTCTCTGCTGACATGAACAGGGTGAAAGAAACAAAACAAAAGAACAGCCAGTTGCCTAAATGTTTTGCTGTGAAAAAAACTGCAGCAAAAACCACAGCAAACTTGCAGCTTGCACCTCAGTCTGAAACTGCCTTTGCTAAATGAACTATCTGTTTAAGCTGGTACTACTGTGTGTGATACCTATACCACTAACTCAGTTTGCTCCCCATGGCTACAGCTGCAATTCTGCATCTTCCTTGCTCATGGCCACTAGAACAGAGAAAACCAAGCACAAAAAAAAAAAAAATAAAAAGAATCTACTGCAAAGAAAAATTCTGTAAGTGTCAGTGGGATAAGCTTATGTGAGTCAATTAGGTTTTTACATCTATAATGACTTTTTTTTTTACTCACCAATGCCATGAGCCCCTGACTTGCAAGTGTAATGTAGGAGAGTCATATCAGTCAGTCCATCTCTGTCATTCACATTGCAACCCCTTTTAATGATCTGACAGGCAAGTGGAAAACAAGCAGATTTTACCTCTGGCATATCTCTGACATCACTACTATTTCCTAAATTACTGAAGATATATTGACTCCTGGATTCATTACAATGGCTAGTGACAAAGAAACCTGCCAGAAAAGACTCTTAACTGCAGCAACTGAGCTGAGCAACATACACAACGTAATAAATAGCATTATAATTAACCTTCATTATTTACAGATTAAAAAATTTATTTCTATTGCTCCTTCTAACATGCACTTCACATGCTAAAAAGTTAAGCAGTTAAATGCATGAGAAAATGATTTATGAAGCTCTCCCCTTCTTTGATCTCTCAACAATTATCCACCCCACTCCCACACAACTCTAAAAAGAAGCCTCCAGTTACAGTATGGTAGCATTCATCTTCACTACACTTCCCCAGAAAAACCTGTAATCCAGAAGAAAAATAAGAAAGTAGGATGGAAATACTAGAAACACATTTTGTGCCTTGGAAATACTGCCCCTTAAGGTCAGGCTTTAAGGGTAACTTCATATATTTTTTGGGTTTGAGTTTGGGATTACTGCTAAGTAGGAAACTGAAACACCAAGGTGAAGGGTCTCAACACAATTGCCTTGAGAGAAACATTGCTTATACCATCTATGCAAATGTACTGAATTTTATCCATCATCTTTCTTTTTCCACATAAAACCTGACAACATGTGGAATACAAGGCATGATCACTCACTACTTGTTTAAAGGCAGAAACTGTATCTGCATTTATGATTAATTCTACTTCTAAATGAACTGGTTTTATTCACTGTCAACACAGTATTTAACATTGAGAGCACACAAGAATCTTCATTCGTATCTCACCTCATTCCCAATAATATCAATATTCTGCTGGACCTGTGGAACCCACTGCCTTAAGATAGCAAACAATTCAGAAACTGATGTTTTGGGGTCGAAGAGTATTTCTTGGCATGCTGCATCGTTGGGATCGAAGAAGGAAAACTCTGTTTAAAAAGAAAATATTCTTTACATAAAATCTTGATTTTTAACGTGCATCTAGTTTTTCAAACTCAGAAGCAAAGGACAGCAGAGAGAAAACATCTTCCTTCTTCTTCTTCCATCACAATTTACACAGAACATACAAAATATAAACACACACTCTAATCACGAAGGCATTCTGTAACCTCTGCTATTTTCAGTATTTCATTAATGCATCAATCCCAGCTGGTGGCAGCTGCAGGAAACAAACACCTTCAAAAATTAAGACACCAAATCAAGACCAGGAAAAAAAAAACAACCCACTTTTAAAGATTTTAAGCCTCATGTTCTTTCACGCAACCCAAACTCTTAAACACCTTATTATAAAAGTATATGTCACATTATTCACAGGTGTGTGTGTGTGCTTGTTAATGAAGCACACATTCTCTATTTTTAATCTGTGGAATTTCCTCCAGCTCTGGAAAATCATATGAAAGAATCTGGATAGCAATGGCTATGAGGAGAGGGAATGAAAGCAGAGTCTACTACTATCAGTAAATGAACCATGGCAAACACTGAACTTTCACCCCCACTGCAGCTGTCATGGAGCTGCCTTTTAAACAGGTTTTGGATAAATGTACAATACAGCTCACATCTATCACAGATCCATGGCTCTCAGACAGGACAGACAAGTTAAGCAACACACACCATCACCCATCTGGGTGTGTGACATGGCATAAACCACACCTGGGTGAATCATCCCAACCTTTCCCCAAAAACAGCATACCTGACTTCTAGATTGGAATAACAGATAAGAGCACATACAGAGTTCTCTTCCTGGCTATTTAGAGTTCCTCAAACTCCATTGCCTTGAGTCAACAAGAACAGAAAAGGAGGACAACTTTCACTGATATTTACCATTAATTTTTATTTGCACCTACCATATAAAAAACCCCAAACCATTTATCTCCCAGCACTACAAGTGTGCTTCTTCCCTACATCCAATGCATCAACACACATCTACTCATTTATCCACTAATATTTACGTTCCACATAAACCACAGCTGATCTACAGCTGAAAGCCATGAAGTAAACAGACAACTAGGCAACAAGATTAATGATCCTACACAATATTCACAGTTCTTACTCTACCAGGAAGATTTCTAGCCACAAATCTGATCAAAATTATCTATCAGAAATCAACTCTTACAGTCAGCATGGTAGGGTAAAAATCTGAGACTGCATCAAGGATTAATAACAACCACCCAAAGTGCTTAGCAGGTGATCAGCTGTAGTCTTTGCAAACAAAGCAATGCTACAGAAAAATCTGTTAAAGCAATCAATCCCACGGAAGGATGGCAATAGCACCTAGATACCTTAAAATATTACTTTCTCCTCCTCTGTCTTTCCAAAGTATTGATCACAGTGCCCAACTGTGTTAAGGAAAAACAAATGCACTGAATGTAAAGACTGAGAATCTCTCTCTGCTGTGGCTTAACCTCCTTTACCCAGATTCAGCAATGTTACTGTTACACAGGTGACAGCAATCTCCTATACAAGGATTTTTTTTTATTTAATGAGTAGGCAGAAACCAGGTAGAACACACAGCAGTGAAATCACAGGGTTATTAGAAGATACCACCACAAAACAATGCTTGAAGAAGGCAAATGGAAACTTTATCTAAGGGATAAGAAAGTAGAATGGAATAAATCATGGCAGTACTCAGAGCAGAGGAGGAAGACAAGCGATGAGAACAGGGCTAAACCATGTAAAGACACACGTTCAGGTACTGAAATACATCATATGGAACACTTACATTCCCAACCTGAGCTAACTTATAAACTGGGTCTCGAGAATGCTGAGCCTGTCAAAGACAGAACATTACATGTATTTATTCTTCCTGAATATGGCTGATTGCTCTAATCAATGCATGGGAAACACAGAGGTGGAAGGAGTGATTTTTGAGTATACAGATGCTATTAATATCTTCTGCAACATTCAAAGGCATTATAATTGCAGCTATCAGTGAAGCTCCTCACCTACAGTGACATTTTAACACATTATATGCTGTCAGAAATTTTATTATAATTTATACATGTGATGACAGTCACTGAAGACAAACATTATTTTGAGAACTGATCACTGATACTTGGTATAATTTTCTACCACTCACTTTACAGTCCTCACCACCACAAAAACATACACTTTCAACAGAAATATCCTCTTCTAGTACATCATTTACATACTAAAGCACAAGAAAAAGTGTAACTCTAGAGGTTTCAAATGTGGTGTAGATTAACTTCCCTTACTCCAATTTTATATCTTATCACAATATCCAATTCTACACTTAGATGTGAAAGAAGTACAAATATGACCACACATGCACAGCACTGTACAAAGGAAAAGATGTAATTTATAGTGTATGCAATAAGAAAAACGAAAAAAGCATGGGTCTTCATCTTTCATTTCATTTAAGAGAGAATCCATTAATAAGAAGAAAACTTTTTCTGGAAAGAAATAATTAAGAGTTGACAGGTTTTCTTAAAATTTATCATTCAAATTTGTTTTCTGCTGATCACAAATTCATTTTCTGTTTAAAGTACATACCACAGTCAGAAGGCATTGGTGCTGCAGCAACAGAAAAAGTAACAGATGTTTCAGAGTTTGGGAATAAGAATCGTTCTCTTTCAATGAGGGAATCTCCTTCGAAGGAAGGTTCTGGGAGATCCTCTATGGTCATCTTCTAGAAAGCCACTTTAGGAGGAAAAATAAAAATCAATAAATAACCTCATTGGAAATACTTTGGATTGGTCCTATCATAGTAAGATATAACGTGCAATGAGACTAAAATCTTAAATTTGCAAACTATTGCTGCCATTACATTCTTACAAACTAATATAGGAACAAGGCTCACAGAGTCTGGTGTCAAGGTTAGCCAACTTCTAGTTTTGACTTCCACCACTAAACTTGCAAGTAACTAATGGAAAACATCATATTTCTCCCCAGTTTCCCACTTGAGCAGTAAAGAAAATATTAATGCTCTATTAGCAAACACACAGTGAGGATAAATGGATTAGTGTGTTTCACAGCTTTATGAAAAGGTGAAGCATCAATACCTGCCCTCATACTCTGCACGCACATTCCCTCCCCTCGCCATGAGCAAGAACATGCTGCCAGCTACTGCTGCCTCCTCTTTTTAAATTCTCAGCTCTTTCATCTTCCCACACACAGCTGCAGACAATTCATCAGCAAGTGATTCACTCCTGGACTCACAGTTCCACAGCAGCTCCTTTCCCAGCTCTTCTCCTGGCTGGTTTAAAATAGCACACTTACCACAGTGCTGGAACCTTCACCCTGTGCTGCTTCCAGTCACCTTCCCAAGCCTTCCAGCAATCTAGGAGAGAGAATCAAGACTAAAAGGTTGTAGAGTAATAGTAACAAAATCTCACAACCAGCCCAGTTACATCCCAGTTATGGTTCCCAGATTGAGATCAGAGGAAAGCTGGCTACCACTTGTAAGACAGTATATCAGGCAAATTCATTAACAAATAACAAAAAAATCATTATTCTTAATAGAAACAGACATGATTGCACCACCAGAGGCTACATCTCACAGCTGAAAAATTTAAATTCTGCATCTTGAATGATCATTATTAAACACTTGGGGTAAAAGCAACATTTCTACTAAACAACCTACATTTTTATTCTGGAGATTGCTATACAGGGCTCTTTTTTCAGGAATTTGTTTAGCCAGCCTGCTTGACAGAAAGAAGCCGTGGAGCTTGAAGCAATGGTTGTTTTTATTACATTTAATTTATGCCCAAGTAAATATGAAAAACTAAAAGAAGAGTTATTTTAGTTTTTGTACCTAACACACGACAAGCTGTATGAGTAGATTTAGTCTGATATTTCCCCAAATAAATCTGTCACACTGCTTGGGACCTCACAATCCATATGCTAAATAAAAAGCATTTTAGCATTAGCAGATGCTAATCTTGAAGTAAATAAATTAAAGCCTCCTTTTCTTGCCCATCATACACAGTTCACCTTGTGCTCAAGTTGGAAATAAAGGTCCACATGAAAAATGCTCATTTTCCTCCCAACTACTTTATTTCCTTAGTCTTATACAGCTGTACAAATGCATGTTCTGGCATGAAGATCAAGGAGGAGGCCACTGGAAGGACAGGACTATTTTTTCCCACAGCATTATCAAATTGCATTGGCTTACGTGTTCTTTTATTCAACAAGGCCAAAAATATCTCTAATTATTTCAATTAATATTTTCTTACAGTCAGGAAAAGTTAAGAGCTTACATTTCAATGGCTTAATAGCCATCATAAAGACGACAGCTTTCTTGTGTGAGGGACTAGAAAGTTCCTTAAGCTGCAAGTACCTAATTAAATTGCTTTTGAAGGGCAACAGTGAAATAAATCTGCTACAATCTGATATTTCTTCAGAGGCTACGACAAAACAAAACAAGGCTTTGTAAGACACATGAATTCACAAGTTTCTCACAGGCAGCACCTCAGAGTTCTCACAAAATGCACAAAGGAACAAGTAATATGCATGAGTACAAAAGACATATTAGCTGAGCCTCTTAAGCTGGAAAAAGAAATTAAAAGCTTTTTGAACAGCCCTACACTGAGGGAACAAAAGGAGCACAGTGAAAAGCAGCCAGACCTGACTGAGCAGATGGTAACAGGAAAAGGTGAGATTTTGTGAAGTAGGACAACCTAAGTTCTTGGAACTTGAAATCAACAGAGACACTTCAAAATGAATACAAGAAAGAGTGTTTATGGCACTCAGGAAAGCAGACCAAACAGAACACAACCTGTGCAAGCAGCCAGGGCATCTTTTATTCTGCAAGGCCAGAGACAAGAACACAATCTGTGCGCTGCCAAAGCACAGCAGGCAGGGAAACAACCCGTGCTGTCAGGTAGGCAGCACCAAGTCCCAAGGGCTACACTGCAGATGCTGACCCAACTCCACAAAGAATGAATTTCACATGTCAGCACCTCCAGTGGAAGTGTGCACACCCTCACACTGTGGGGTTTCCATTTGGCTCTGGAACGGGGCACGTGTCAGCACCCAGCACTGAACCACGCGATGGCGAGACGACACGTTCCGCACCCACAGCCACATCCAGGGGCTGCCAGCCCAGCTGTGAGAGCTTCCCAGGCAGCTAACCCCGCACACACAGCTGGAAAGGCAAGGGAAAAGGCTGAAAACTAACTCAAAGGAAGTGAAAAGGCATCCCCACGCCATCCTCATAATGAGTTCTGTTGTGAGCAAAGCCAAAACTGCCTGAGGTATTAACAACACCCAAAACATACTTCCCACCAAGATTCAGCTGGAAAGTCCTGGTGCAGTGGAATGGGAGGCCTTCCAAAAGAGCAGTGACTTTCCTGTATTAGTAAAAGAGTTTAGAGCAGAAACTATTAGAGAAATTACATTAAAGAGAAAATTTTTCCATTCACAGCACTACCAAACTACCACAGAGCACAGTTTAGTACAGCAGAGAGTATCATACTTACTATCTGCCAGCCATACGTTCTTCCAGCTGAATTATATCTGCAATTGAAAAAGCAGAACTATCAGGGAAAAATCTTCAAAGAGTCATCGGATGCACACACCCTTTTGTTGACAAAACTGAACAGCAACAACAGGTTTCTTGATATCCACACATTACACAGGACTGCATGGTAGCTCTGCAGATACATATAAAAAAGTTCCATAACAAAGGATCCAACTTTTTCATGTACTCTAGTTTGTAACTTGTGTTAAAGCACAAAGCTTTCCTGCAAGTGCTGTAAGAACTTGCAAATGCTAAATCACTTCAGGCTACAACATACAGTTGTTCTGAGCTTTGATAGCTGAACCTGTCACAAATGTGATGCTATTTTTGACAACAACTATGTCAAATGGACTCCTTATCATGTATTCAGATAGGCTCAAGAAAAATTACGAACACAGAACAAGTTTCTTGCACATACACCCCCTGCCCACTTCAGAACATTTACAGCACAGGTGGCAGGCATGCTACACACGTAGGTAAACCCAAGACTTGGGTTGTGTGCAGGGCCCTTTTGCAACATGGCAGTGTTTTCAAAGATTCACTGAATTGTTAGTGTTGGAAGGGACCTCAGGAAATCATCCACATTCCAACCCCCTGCCAGGGCAGGGTCACCTGGAGCAGGTGACACAGGAGCGTGTCCAGGTGGGTCTGAATGTCTCCAGGGAGGGAGACTCCACAGCCTCCCTGGGCAGCTGTGCCAGTGCTCTGCCACCCTCAGTGTAAAGAAATTCTTCCTCATGCTGAGGTGGAACTTCTTGTGTTTCAGTTTACAGACACTGCTCCTCAACCTGTCACTGGGCACCACTGAAAACAGCCTGGCACCATCCCCTTGGCACCTGCCTGCGAGATATTTATATGCACTAATGAGATCCCGTCTGTCTGCTCTTCTCCGGACGGCACAGGCCCGGCTCCCGCAGTCTCTCCTCATGAGAGGGATGCTCCAGACCCGCACCCCTGCGGCCTCCCCGCCGGACAAGCCGGGAGAGCGGGGAGAGCTCAGCTCCGCACCCTCCAGCCGGCCCTGCCGCTCACAGCTCCCGGGACACTCGGCAAGCCCCGCTCTCCCTCCGGGGGCGGCAGCAGAGCGCACCCCCGAGCCGGGGCTCTCCCGGCCGCCGCGGTGACACCGCCCGGGCCGTGCGCCGCAGCCGCCCGGGGGGAGCCAGGCCGCCCGCGGCCCGCCCGCTGCGGCGGCCCCTGCACCGCCACCCCGCGCCCCACTACGCGCCGAGGGAGGATGGGAAGCGCCGGGAGAGCACCGGGAGAGCACTCGGAAAGCACCGGGAAAGCACCGGGAAAGCGCCGGGAAGCGCCAGCCCCGCCCCAGCCCTACCTGCTCCCGGCCGAGCGCAGCGCGCGCCGCCCGGGCCCGCCCGCAGCCCAGCGAGCCCAGCGAGGAACAGGCCCCGCCCACCGCGGGCAAACCACGCCCCTTCCCAACCCTCCGGCCAATGGGCGGCCAGCGCGCCCCGCAGACCACGCCCCCCGGTGCCGGGAACGCGCGGCGGGAGAGGGCGGAACGGCGGGATGGAAGCGGGGATGAGTGCGGGGATGGATGAGAGGGTGGATGCGGGGATGGATGCAGGGATGGATGAGAGGGTGGATGCAGGGATGGATGAAGGGATTAATGAAGGGATGGATGAAGGGATGGATGAGAGGGTGGATGCGGGGATGAGTGCGGGGGTGGATGCAGGGATGAGTGCGGGGGCGGATGCGAAGGTGGATGCGGGGATGGATGCAAGGATGGATGCGGGTGTAGATGCGGGTGTGGATGCAGGTGTGGATGCAGGGGTGGATCTGGGGGTACATGCAGGGATGGATGCGGGGGTGGATGCGGGTGTGGATGCAGGGATGGATTTGGGGGTACCTGCAGGGATGGATTTGGGGGTGGATGCAGAGGTGGATGCGGGGATGGGGCCGGCAGCAGGAACCGGGCTGGCACGGGCTGGAGGTCACGAGGCACCGCTGGCACGTTTCAGCACTCAGCTCAGGAGTCGGGATTCCCCGGCTGTCCTAGTAGCCAGGTGGAGGAACTCCCAAGGAGGATTTTTAAAGGATGCTTGTCCCATGCTGTAAAATCTAATGAGGATCTAAATCCAAAGAGATTGGCTCTATCCGGTTTGCCTACGGTGGCAAACCCAACATCGTACCTGAGCCCAGGCTGCATGAAGGGAATTTGAAGTGGATAAAACCACCGCCAAGCCCTGCTATGTTTTTGTGCTCTGCGTGGATCACTGTTAAATAGACATAACTGATGTTTACAATCAGGTTTTTGGTGTCGTCTTTCCAGTGATGATATTAAAAGGGGTGGGGGGAGGATAAATAATAGGAGTGGCAAGTGTAAATTTCCTCAATGAAGTGCTGGAAAGGTCGAGAGTTGCAAATTCTCTCAGCTCTGAGAGACTCCAAAGCTGAAAGGAGAGCATTGAATTGCAGTTGTGAGAGTAAACGTGATGCCAGATGGCTACAAAAAAGCTAGGAGATTCTTCCACTTCTTAGAACGTTCCATACCTTGGAAAAGACAAGCAGAAAATGTTCCAGGAAAAGTGCAGGCCTGCTACTTTCACCTCATGGCTGCTTAGGTTCAACTCTTTTTATGAAGACAAGCATGTAAGCAAGATCGAATGTGATCTTCGTACTGGCAGTCGATGTTTGCCTTTTTTGAGGTGCTTGGTGCTCTGGGCAAAGGAAATGTTCTACTGCTGATCCTGAATAACAGACTTCAGTGAAGAGCCTGGAATGGAAATTATTAGTTCTGGAGAACACTGGGATTTTGGAGAGCTTGAACGAAGGTAAAGCACACACACAGGGGGAAACAGAGTGAAGTAGTATTAAATGCAAAGCACTGTGAAAAACACCAATCACTTGTTTTTAAAATTTTTAAAGTTTAATAGTAATAAAATGGTTATAAAAATAGTAATATAATTAGAGTAATAAAAATTTGGACAATTTGGATTAGGACAATATGAGACAATAAAACCAAAGAGTTACGGACAGTCCGGGTACATCTTTCTGGGCAAAATAAGCCCAAAAAAGGACACCGTTAACAGAGGATTAACCCTTAAAAGCAATAGCCTGTTGCATATTCATACATCTCATACATGATGCATAAATTCCATTCAAACACAGGATTCTGTCTGGTCAGTGTCAGCTTCCTCCTCTGAATCCTTACGGCGTCTTCAGGGCTGAGCAAGGCAGGAAGAATTTCATTTTTTATGATGATGGAGCAATAAATACTCTGAAAGATTTAGGTGTCCTGTGGCTGCTATCTCAGTGTGAGTCCTTTCTTTATATATCTCACATAGCATAGTTTCTATTTTAACATTATGTTATAGCCTAAAACTGTATTTAACACACTACTTAAGAAACTTAATACAGCATAACTTTCTAACAACACATATAATATTCATTTTAATATTTGCAAAAAGCCAATCATAAAATACACATTTTTCACAGTACTGAGGTGAAGAAGGCTACTGATGACATCCTGGGATGTTATCCTTGGAACTAATCTTTGTTTCATGTTTTCCTTTAATGTCTTTTTGGGCAAAAAAAAACCCCACAAACCGATAAGATTTAAAAAAAGCAAAAAGGAAAGAATTGCTGTCAGAAAGGAATGAACTGATACAAGATTGAGAGATGGGATCATTGTATGGAGGTAACTGAGGAACCAAACAATGCAAGACAGCTGCACAAGGGGCATCATTGTCAATATGAAATAATGGTGCAAAAATCAAACACTTATCTTGGGATGTGTAGCTGGGGAGTTGTGGCAGGGAAGGGAGGTGTTCGTGCCAGCAGGTCTGGCCATCTCCTTCAGGAGTCACACATTGCTGTGAGCACCCTTCTTCAGTGAGCAGCAGCTGATCCAGCCTGCCTAGAGAGGGTTTGTCAGCACAGCCAAGGAAAAGAACAGTCTGTTTGGGGAGGTCACCAGAGCACAGCTTGTTTGATGCAGCAGAATGAAAGCTGAGACAGAGGATGTAGTTGCCATCTGCCATAAACCACAGAAAATGGGGTGTGAATTCAAGGGTGATGTTGAATATGAGGACAAAACTGTGCGATCATTTTTCATGCTAGAAAATGAAAGCAAGGACCTAACAAAGCATCACAGGTTCTAGAAGAGCCTTCTGATCAGGCCAGCAATGGCAGAATCCCAAACATCTCAGCTCAAAGTGAGTCCTGAGAGCTGCAGCTGCAGAGGAGACTGGATGTCATTCCTGACAACATCCCTGCCTGTCTGGACTTCCACCTCTGAGCCCTGCAATGGAAATTTTAAAAGAATATGTATTTAAACCACTTTCTGTACCTTAGCACATGGTCTTTTTCAGCCACTCCTGCCAGCCAGGATATGAACAAAAACAAAAAGCCTGTTCAGCCTATCCTGTCTGACTCATTTGGTGCTGCCATGGGCAGCAAGGCTGCTGAACACCTGGAGAGCTCAAAACAATGGGCTGCACCAGCTCCCAGCACCTCGGGAGGAAGATGGGGAAACAATGCTTGTGAGCAACAAGCCTGTTTCAACTGAAATATTATTTCATTTCTTGTCTCTTCTTTGGGCAGAAATAGAGCACTGCTAACCAGTTCATCTCCACAGACTGACGTATCAGAGGAAAGCAGTCATTAAAATGGCTTAGGAAGGCATGGCATCTTCAAGTAGAGCCACTCTGGAGCAAGGCTTAGGGCAGCAGGGAGGTTCTGACAGTGAGTGTGCACACGCACTGTGGTTAGAGACACTCTCTGAGAGGAAGCCAGGAGGAATCCTGTGTTTACTTCAGTTTTCAGGGAAAGCCTGAGATGCTCTAGGTAAGGAAACCCACTGGGAGCTGGATAAATCTAAATAGCTGCACTCTCTTCTGTAGCATCTTGGGATATTTTCAGGAATACAGATTCCTGGACCTCACTTCTAGATCCAAAATCAATATTACCACCTTCCATTAGGAAGTGCTGCAGCCCTTGCCAGCCAGTTAAATTGCCAGTCCCTCACCTGAAAGGAACTCGCGTGCCTTGAAATTGCTCCACAACCACGCTTTCACTCATGAGAACTAATGTAACTGTTGCCAAGGCCAGTGGAACCCTCTCCTTTTAATTTTCTAGATTTGCATAATTCTGGAAATCTGTGCTTAAAGCTTCATGCTGTTTCACACAGTTCTTTGTCCTAACTCTCATCCTTTGGCTGTCGCTGTCTCACCCACTGAAACCAGCAGTGAATGCATTGGCTGGGGCAGATAGCAAGCACATAAAATATTGATGGAACGCCTAGCAAAGAGAAACTCTGTCTAACTGACCAGAACACACCTTCCAAAAATAACAGACAAATGTAAATATATCTCACAAAACTACTGCTGACACTAGTCATACAATTCTTCTTGACCCCTTTGGGTGACCCGAGTGTAGCAACAGCCCTGTCCTGGCAAACCCCCCAGAATGACTCTTTCATTTTCTACTTACATTTCTTCCTTCATTAATTCCTTTATAAAATATTTTTAAATTTTAAATGCTGGAGAATCCTAGCTGTTTTCAATAATTTTTTTTAGTTGTTCTTCTGCTATTTAAAAAATCCAGATGTTTTTGCAAAACAGGTTTTTGAAAGCATTGGGGTCACATTTATACCCTCATGCAATCAGGCTGCACCACTTTACTTAGATGTTAGTATTTAAAAAAAAAAGCCAATTCTGAGAAGTGTATGACTGGCCCAGAATCAAGATGAATTTTGTCTTTCACTTGCATCATCACCACGAGTAAAAGCTCTGTATAGACTCGCTGGTTCTATTCAATTCTTTGCAAATACTTTTCCTTCAAACCATGGTGCTCCTATTCTTTACCACTGCCAACAGGTTTCCACAGGGGAAGCAAAATGAAGCTTCCTATGTATCTCTGCAAGTGATTACAGAAAGGAGAGAACCTACTCTATATCCCAAACCAGTGTCAGCTCTGCAGGAGAAGGTGAAATAAAAAGAGACTATTTCTTATTTACTTAGTGCCATCTAAGCCAACAATATGAACAGCTCCCTGGTTATATACAATTTGCTCACACGAAAGAAGAAAAAGGGCATTTCTTTGAGAGTAAAATAGCTCTTTAAAATTGTTGTTATCACTCAAGTTCTCCATAATTCCTCAGTGAGCCCTTTTCCACAAATACAAACCTTAGATTTCTAAGACTTGGCATAATCATTTATGTGCATTACCTATTTTAGCCTCTCTTGTGTTGTATGATCATGAGATAAAATATTTTCCTTATAATTTTTTGAGAGGTAAACATTGGGATTTTTCTGAAGTGTCTAAGAAATATAAAGAAATATATGCCTACTTGGTAATAAGAGTATTGATAAGAAAAATGCAGCTACATAAGTGTTTGGAAACAGGCACATCAAAGATCTCACAGAAGCTAATAAATCTTGTGCAACA